TAGCTATACCTATAGTAGTTATAGTAACTACCTACGTCTACTTAGATACTAAATCTATCTTATAGAAAACCTATTAGTACGGTACCGGTAGTAACTATACTACTAAGGCTATAACTACTATCTTTTAAGTAACTATAGCTATATCTATAGTAGTATTAGTAAGTAGGGTAGGGGAATTAGTTCTAAGGTAGTAGTAGCCGAGCTAATAAGAGTACTAGAAATACCTATAATAATTAATAAAGTAGTAGAAAGTACTATAATCGCGTTTTCTTAGTTAAAGTAAGGTAGTAGTAATTTTAATAGAGAGTAGTAGTAGCTGTACTACTCTAGTAGACTACTTTATACTATAGATTAGTATATACGCGTCCTCCCCTATACTTTATAGTATATTATAACTGCGCCTAATAAATAGCCAAAGTGCGCCCGGTAAATAGCATTTCCTACTGCCTTATTCTGACTTCCCGTCCGCGCTCTAGGTTCAGGCGCTATCACAAGCCCTGACCGAAGCTGGTGCAGGTGGGCACCTCATCAGCCTGTGAAGAAACTCTTGGCGGAAACTCTAATCCCGGCCTTCCACAGCACCGGATTCCTTTCTCTCGCCCTCTGCCGGATCCCCGGGCCTCCTCTGTACGCCGCGCCTATAAACACGTCCTGTCTCCTCGCCGACGCGAGCCACCGGGCGCATCACTGTTGCAGTTACTACTCCTTCTGGACAACGATGGGTTGCGAAGGAGAGCGACGGCCGCTCTTGTCCTCCTCCGTACTCTACCGCCCGTCTCGGCGCCCGACGCGTGTGCCTTTCCCACCTCCTCCAACTCCTCCACCTCCAGGCTCCATGTACAGCATGCACGAGGTACGGCGATCATCCTCACCCGGCACCTGTCGACTTCTCAACAGGCACCGAGCCAGTTGAGCCTGATATGCTCCCTAGCTGTCGTCCACTCAAGCTTCACCACTTTCTTGCTTCCGCGACTCAGCTTCTCTGCCTCCCTACCTATCGCCTGCTCATCCGACCCAACTGTCGTATTCACCACCCCAAATACAGAAATCCTGCCCTGACTACTACAAGCGGCAAACGTCGGTCCAGCACCTCCTCCAGCAGCCCACTCCGCCAGGCATCAACAATCGTTTCATGCTCGTTTCCGACCCTATATCCAGTCCCCTCCATATGCTCTAATCCTTGATGAACGTCATGAACGGCACGTGGTTCATCGATATCTTCTGTGCTCCCTGCCTCAGGAGCTGGATGTTGTCTTTGAACGTCGACGTCTCGCGGAACTTCATGTGCGCCTCGACCGACGACCATCCAATCACCAATACCGCGCCCTTGCCCTTGACGCCTTCGCGCTCTATCTCCTCGTAGGTAGTGCCGACGGCACCGCCGAGATAGCCATCGACCTTTTCGCCTTCGTTGTTGGCCAAGAATCTCGTCGCTTTCTCGAGGTAGTCCTTTGGCGCCTCGCCGGCAAAGTAGAAGGTCGCGACCTCCGTCACCGGTGCAGAGAGAGCGCGAGGCAGCGCTCCATCTGGCTTGAAATCCACATGGCAGATCGTGGGCTCTCCATCGACAATCGTCATGAATCGCTGTAGGAACGGCTTGTAGGCCCCGGTCTTCTCGAACGCATGGTGAGAGGCAATGGAGTCCCAATCTGTGCGACCCGTCAGCTTCTGCCCGCGAACCATCCCGCGTCCAACGCCCAAATCGGATCGCAAACGTACCCATAAACATCTGCAGCATGTTTTCCTTCTCGATCTGCATTCCGAACTGGGCCTGCTGCAGGCCATTCTGGTTTGACAGCGTGTCGCCAACTTCCTTCAGCACCTTGGCCGCCTCATTATCCGGGTCGCCGGGCTTGCTTCCCGATACCAGGGCACAGCTAATGACTTCCGTTGTAGGCATAATTGTTGCAGCACTTTCGAAACACGAAGAGGCTGCTGAACAGGTATTATGTCAAGGTAGAAGTCCGGATTGAGCGCAGAATAAACTTGCGTTCCTCTGCTATATGTGAACTCTGGTGTGATATGTGAGCGTGAGAGGACGTCATCACACCTGCCCCGCCCACAAGCATGCATGGGGAAAGTGGGCTGGAGCAGCTCACATGGCGCTAGGTACGGAATCAGTACATGTAGGTACGAATGAGAGCTCATCCCCGGCAACCTAAAGCCATACAACAACGCTCTGGCCACACATACCTTACCCTCGAGGACTTCACCCTGCCACACACACACACGACATTCCACAAACACGCTCTCGGCTGCCCGACCTGTCAATAACATGTCGAGTAACGACGAAACGCGTTCGGCATTGCTTCGCGCCTCGAAACCTCCGACGAAACAGCTCTTCAGTACCTTGATCACCGCTAACCACATCCTCCACCACCAAAATATCGTCGATGCCTACGGCCACATCTCGGTTCGCAACCCTCAGAACCCAGCCACATTCTTCCTATCAAGATCACTCGCGCCAGCATTAGTGTCCAAACGAGAAGACATTGAAGAATACTATGTTGAGAACGCCGAGCCGGTAGACAAGGATGCATCCAAAGGATATGCAGAGCGCTTCATACACAGTGAGGTCTACAAGATGTACAGTGGCGTGCATAGCGTGGTCCACGCCCACAATGAGGCGACGCTACCTTTCGGCGTTAGTAGTGTGCCCCTGAGACCTGTTTATCACATGGCCGGCGTGATGGGTAAGTCAATTTTACGATGCCGCTCGCAACAGTACAGTATCGAGCGTTGCTGAAAGGGTGACGTAGGTCCTCAAGTCCCCATATACGACATCTCCCTCCATTACCGCTCCTCGGACGAACTCCATTCCCTCCTCGTAACAAACTCACACCTCGGCGAAGCCCTGGCAGCAGGCTTCAACCCTTCAACCAATTTCTCCAAAGCTACATCAATGGTATGATGAATGACCGGTCACAGAATTTCCAACAGTCCCCTTCTCATCACTTTACAGATCAAATCCTACCTGATCTCCCAATCGACCAAATCCTCTCCTCCTAGTTTCCCGCCCAACCCCACAGTCCTCATGCGCGGCCACGGGTTCACCTGCATCGGCACTTCGATCGAAGAAAGCGTCTATCGCGCCATCTACACCTGCGCCAATGCTCGTGTGCAGACCACCGCTCTGCTCATGCAGAACTCGTACAACACGGGTCTACTCGCTGAGCGGTTCGGTTGGAAAGAAGATAACCCGGGCCAAGCGGGAGCTGCGAAGCAAGAAGGGATTAAGTTCCTGAGTGAGAGGGAATCCAAGGACAGTTGGAAGGGGCTCGGGAAGCATATAGAACGGCCGTGGGAGTTGTGGTGTAGGGAGGTACAGCAGGTCGCATTGTACAGCAATGAACTACAAGAAAATGACGATGACGACAGCTGAAATGCGAAAATATCATGCACGTACACGCGTTGGTCTTTTTTCTTTCTTTTCCTGCACCATGATACCTTACCCACAAAGGAAACTATCATCCCTACGTAACCCACCAAATTCACCTCCTCGCAGCATATCCACCCCCTCCCCCTCCTCCACCCCTCCACTGTCCCCTCAAATTCGGAATCAGCGTCGGGGTGAACTGCACATCACTCAGATCATTCCTCCCTGTGCCGCCGCCGCCATCATCCCCGCCCGCGCCCGCGCCAGCAGCAGCAGCAGCATTCTCAGCAGCAGCAGAAACAGGAATCCCAAACGCCGAAGAAGAAGAAGCCGCCGCCGCCGCCGCCGCAAGTCCTAGATTCTGCATATGCGCCGCCGCGGTGGTGTTGGGATCCGTGTTGGTGTTGGAAGCGGAAGAAGTCGAAGCGAAATCCGAACCGGTGAAATCCGTCATGTTGAAGTCGCGGATATTCAGGTCGCCGGTGTAGATTTCGGAGGGGAAGACGCGCTCGAAATCGGCCTATGATGGGTGACATTTTCACGTTAAAAAAAAAGAAGAAGAAAAAGAAAAGGGGGGTTTTTTTTCTCATGGATGGGGGGGGAATGAAGTGTGAGAAGGTTTTTTGTTGTTGGGAAAGGGGGAGGACTCACCCAGTCAATATCATCCATTGTCGTCGACGACATCTGGCCGTCGTGTTGAGCGGCACCGAGGCTCCCATGTCGGCTCTCGCTCGCGGTACTGTTCGAGTCCTCCCGCAAGGGCGGCGGGGGGGAACAGTGCATCGGTGGCAATAAGATGCCTCCGCTGATCGCGGCCACAGCGGCATTCGTATCCTGCGCCGCCGCCGCCGCAGCAGCAACAGCAGGCATCATCTGTCCCAGCTCATCGATAACACCACTCCCACCACCGCCACTACCACCACCACCACCACCGCCACCACTCTTCTGCCGCTGCCCCCTCCCGACGCGCTGTTCCATCTGATTGGAAACTTTCACCTTGCGCATCTGGCGGTACACTTCCATGCGATCCCGCAGATCGGTGAGCACCAGTTCCGCTTTTTGTTTCGGCGCGAGGTGCGGCGGGATCTCGAAGATGTAATCGAGGCATTTCCAGATCCGCGCGGCTTCCTTGCGCATGGGATATGCGTAGATTTCGATCATGAGCAGGAGGGCCGCGTGGTATTGGTTGAAAGCGCCGCGGTCTGTGTTTCGAAATATGAAGTGTCAGTGTCTTGTGTGTGTTACACGAGGGTGAAGTCAGGTTGGCTGGTGGGGGGGAGGGAGAGGGGGTTAACACTCACACCACGTCCAGGCTTGCATTTCCGGGTTCGTCTCGAAGGCGATCGAGTATTCCATCACCACCAGCCCAGCCTCAATCAGCACCTGCCGCAATCGATCGGGCATTCGCTGCGTCGTGCTGAAGAGATAGCGATGCAGGACTTGCAGGTGTAGATGCCTCGCACCCATCTCATAGACCATCCGTCCCAAGACCTGAAACGGCTGGGAATTATCAATCATCGGCCAGAATTTCTCCTCCATGGCCGTGCGATACCGTTGGACCTTCACCAACACCGAGGTGAGGGATTTCTTCTTCCGGTCGACCTGCAGAATATCGTACCACACCTGCCGACGCTTCTCCGAGTTCTCGAATCGGAGGCGTGAGAAGGTCATGTCCGTCCAGACCGGCTTGTCTTCTGTGGGGGGATCGTGATTCAACAGGTCGTTGTCGTCCACGTTGAGCGGCATGCGGGTATCGTAGTCCTCCGTGCGGATCTGCGGGCGCGGCCCCGTCGCTTCGCACGTTCTCATGTCCAGGAAACACAGCTGATGCCAGATCATGCGGCGCACATGCGTCTCCGTAGGACTCATGTTGTATAACGTTCCGTCTCGATGAAGGCCCATACACTCCGCGAGTCGGATCGCAGTGCCTACGAGGGCGGAGTGGGCGCGTGATACCTCTGACCGCACAAGTGGGATAAGGTACATGGTGAAGGCCTGCATCGTGTCCACCCTGGTAGTCCTCAGGAAGTTTGCCTTAGCCAGCGCCAGCTCGGTGCCAGAGCGGAGACTGTCAACGAGCGCGTTCTTGGTAGTTCCGAATGCTCGCATGGTTTGTTCATTCGTCATGCTCACTGCAGCGGAGAACATGGCCGCGAACATGATGGCTTGTACCGATGGTGTGGGATCGTGCCCAGCGCCAATCTGTCCCCAGAAGAGAATGTACTGCGCCTCGAACGTGGGACGATGCACCTAGGCAGAGCACAGTGATCAGTATACAGTCGAGGCTACTCACTGTTCATCGCGTACCGTTCTGGCCAGATAGTGGACGGACGTCCAATACTGTTGGATCAAGCTATCGGCCACGTTCTTGCCGGGCAAATAGTCGATGAGTTTGACGTTTGCGTTCGTCCCGGGAAAGAAGAAGCTGCTCGCGGGCGCAATGTAGTCCGGGCCCGGACCCATATAGCTCTTGGGTGAAGCCTGCAGCTTGGACTCTCCAGGCCGGATGCTGTGATGGTCTTGCGCGGTTGGTGCGGCGGAGCATCTCAATTTGCCTGCCTTGACGTCTTCCAGCGTGTCGCTGAGCTCTTCGACGAGCTTCGGTCGTAGCCAGCCTCCTATGCGTTCTGAGATACGCATCTTGCCCTGGGGGAAACAGCATTAGCAACGCATGGGCTCGGAGTCAATGTATTGGAGGAGAACGTACCATCTGCACACCCAAATCCATCAACTCGTCGTCAACACTGTCTTCGTACACGTTGTCGCGGTCGGCGAGTGGAGTAGGCTCGAGTCTGTCTTCGTCCTCCTCGGCGTCGTCATCATCATCTTCTGCTTCCGGCAAGCCCTTCATCTCCGAAGCGCTGAGCTTCGTGACACTCACGCCTCCGAGGTGCGCTTTTTGGCTCTTCTGGGCGACTTCGCGCTCCAGGTTCTCCTCCAGAGCACCCATCTTCTCCTTGATCTCGGCCAACTTCTGCTGGCTCTGAGGGTCCGTCGCCGGCGCCAGGTACAGGCAGGCGCGCCGGAAACGGGTACAGTTCGTGCATGGTGACTGTTTATCGCACTTGAGCTTGCGTCGTCTGCATTCCAGACAGGACTGTATGGCTCTGTTGCGCCGACGGATGCGACTTGGACTGGGGGCGACTTTGGGGGCCTCGCTGGATGCACCAGGCAAAGAAGACTCCGGACCGATGGAAGACTTGCAGGCCGAGTAGGTGGCGCCCGTCCCTCCACGACTGCCACTTTGAGAGATGAACCGTTCGTCGTGCCCAGACATGCCCGAAGAGTTATACATCCACGAATCCACTGCGCTCTATCACGCGCGGACAACGGGATGTCACACGACCGGATGTGTCGATGCCAATCCTTCACGGACGCACATGAACGGTAGCGTGGCCTATGGGTGGCTTTCCTACGATGGCCGACCAAGTCTCCGTCCTTGTCGGTGTCCCGAAGCGCGGATTGCTCAGCTCAAAGAGTCGGTATAGACGGCGCCTAGACGGACATTACGATGATACGGCAGAGCCGAAATGGATATGGGCGTAGATCCACTTATGGGAAGATTGTTGGTCGTCTGGCTGACTGGGCCAGCGGGTGGAGTGTGCTCTCACCACCCTGCGCGTCTGGGCGGAGGCTTTCCCTCCGCAATCGTATCGAGAGAAGAATGATCAATTCGGTATCGTGTGGATTCTGGAAGATGTATGCCGTACCGCCGACCAACATCGATAAGGTCGGGTCGCAGAGGAACCTCGCAATGCTCAGTCCCATCTACGCGAGCTGCACCTTGCCCGTTTGAGTGGCCTACCGCGACGCTTGCTCGGTAAGCAGAATAATGAGTAGGGCCACTCTCCACGGTACCTCATCATCAGCAGAGCACCGAAACTTCTGCCTCTCTGCTCGATGCTCGTGAATCAGAATCCAGAATCACAAATTGCCCTTACGAGTCGATGTGATGACTTACCAAGTGATGCTTCCTGGATGACTACCTAACGCTGTCCTGGTTCTCGGCTTTCCACCATCAAACTTGATGAGTAGATCCGTCAAATATTCAACGCCGCGCTGTCAGCCTCCCCTTTCTCTCAGCATTCTATCTGCACTTCACCCCGGTCGTCTATTCTACATTTTGCCTGTACGGCTGCAGTCCATGATCATAGCCGTATCCTTCTAGTCGTTTGCAACGAGGCGAGGACGATGAAGTCTCGCGAGTCATTCACAATCAGATATCTGCGCAGCTTACTCGCGGCCTATAGGCACGTCAGGCCACCCTTGACACCTCCGAATGCGAGTTACGCTACGAGTCACCGTGTCGCACTGGCATGTCTATCAATTCTGGCGCCTAGGCGATTTTGGTCTCGACCGCGTGCACGTGCTCAATCCGACCCATCTGCTCTGTTGGCATCACGCAGAGCATGGCCGGCTCACACCAGGGAAGTGCGTGCATTAGCATGGTCTGGGGAAGCAGCAGACAGAAAAGCTTGTGACAGGATTGCAATTCGAGCCGGAGCCGCGGGCTTGGAACAGCGTCTATCTAGATCCCACCTCCCTACCCACGCTCCTCTTAGCCTCACATGCTGTACCTTTCCAATCACAATCAAACTCTCCGAGCGCGAGCCTCGTCCGGCGCCTCCGAGACATCACCTAGCCCTCTCCCCTGTAGATGGGACGCTCGCTGCTGGAATCCCTTCTCGTCCAGTGCAAGAATCCGTGTGCGTGGCTCGTCCTCACAGCCTCTCAATGACTTCCCCAAGCGCTTCCATGCCGTCCAACCACGCATCGTTCTCATTCTTGACCACTTCCTGATCCTCGAGCACATCATCCGTCCATCTGTAAACATACACAGTCTTCATCCCCACTCCCTTCGCACCTCTCAAATCATACGCATGCGCCGCGACCGTGACACACTCCGCCGCCTCCCTGCCAATGAGTTCCAAAACTCTCTCATAATTCCGCGCGGCAGGCTTATAGACCCCAAGCAATTCCGAAGAGAAGAGCATTGCGAAAGATCCAGATAAGCCCGAGGATTGGACCAGATCAAGCTGCAGTCTCGTCGTCCCGTTCGCGTGCACAAAGACTTCGTACCCTTTCGCTTTCAATTCTCTTACCGCCGGTTGGACGTCGTCCCAGGCTTTCTGGTGATGCCATTCTCGCACCATTCTGGCTCTGCTTTCGTCCGTGAACAACGGCGCGATCTCCGGGCGGCTCTCCAGAAGCGCGTCCAAGACGTTACGGTGCGTGATGTCGATGTTCTCTGGCGGCTCACCGCTCGCGAGACGAGCCGCATTCGCGTCGAAGTATGCGTGTCGCCATTGCAGGGCGAAGTCTGATTTTTCGGGTGGGGACATCTGAGATGGGAGGGCGGCGACGATGCTGGAGTGCCAGTCGAGACAGGTGCCCATGAAGTCGAAGAGGACGGCTCTGATTGGCATTGCGGAATTGTTTGAGTGCTAGTAAGTTTTTGAATTGATTCTGGGGTATTGTAGCACAGACGGTCCAAATCAAGCGAGATAATGCGGTATATCAGTTAGCGGGAACCTGCTTACGTCATTGCATGTGAAGGAAGCTGAACTTGTAGAAGGGCGCTACTGACCTGATTAACGCATTCCAGGCTCTGCGGTACGCAACGCTACCTGGCTGCTGTTACGTACGAGGCTTTTCGGAGTCAATCCTGCTGCGAGTGAAGCATGTCCAGCCAGAGAGTCCGACCACTAATTCGTTGTACAGATGGGAAAGTTTTGGCAAGACCTCGAACGGAAGCCTCACGTGCAAGTAGTTTAGGTTATGTTTACAAGCAGCATCCGCTCAACGCTGCACGCCGCCTGCCCGAACTCTCCGTCGTAGAAATTGCCCAGCGATCACTCAGTGTTCTGCTTTTATCGCCCCTTCTTGACCCAGTCCTGAATGCTCTCCCTCGCATCTTGCACCTTCTCCTCTGCCATCGCGAGACCCATCTGGCTGTGCGCCTTTCCGGTCTCGATGAAATGCCGTACACCCTCGGTGATCCTCAAGTGATTGTCCCTCACAACTGGGAACTTCTCCTCGTAGCTCCAGATCAGGTTGCCAACATTCTCCGTTGTCCGCGGTACCACGTAGTGCGCGGTCACGACACCTGTCAGGATTGGAGTTGCAAACCGAAACAAGATGTTCCTGTTACGGGAGATGATGCTTCCTGCCATTGCGGCTACCAAAACGTAGATGCCGCCTGGCAGAACCTTCTCATTGGACTCTTTCGGCGGTGCCAGCGAGGTAATCGTAGAGGTGAAGGAGTGCTCGGCGTTCATGAATCGGGTCATGCCGTTGTTCACTGCGTCTTCGGCTTGAACTGCGTAGCCGTGCAGCATGAGACGCGAAGCCTTGATCTGTTCCGCAAGGCGATCGGTCGGTGTCGGTTTTCGGGGAGTCGAAGCGCCGTGTTGAGGCTGCTCCTGTGGCTTCTCCGTAATACCAGATGCTGGGGGAGGTGTTGTCGCCGCGATCTCGCGAGGAGAGGGTTGTGAGGGCGCATCGTATATAGGTTTTCGTGTTCGCTATCGATTGTTAGGCTTGATATAAGGAATGAGGCATTCATGTGCGAACAATGGCCTTGATTGGGTCTGTAGGCGGCTCCTCTGCGTATGCTGTTCGTGTAGGATAGAGCGCAAGGGCTGTCGAGATGCCTCCTAGGGCGAGAACGTGCTGTTAAGAGTCAACAACTGCGCCACTTGGAATGCTATCCATTACTCACCTGCCCGAGTAGCCGAGTGGAGGCCATGGTGGTAGACTTGGGGTCGAACTCAATGGCTGCAATCTTGAAGTGATGCCATGCTGGAGGACATCGGAAGCTCCTGCTGCTAAAAGTCTTGGCACGGACGTCGGCGAGTTGGCCCGAAGAGCCGAGGAACACTCCCGAGCTGTCTCTCTCTCTTGCATGTGAACGGAACACTCGTCTTCTGTTCTTCACCTTCCACTTCGTCCCCGCCATTCAAGAATGTTGAAACGGGCAGAATGGACTTGTCGACGATGCCTGCGAGAGCGATCACGACTGCGTCAGCCACGACGCTCGCTGGGGACTTCCACCACAACAAGAGGTGCTGCTGCAGTGGCGCCGGCGACGCAACCAGCCGCCTACCATCCCAGTCCCGGCGTTTCGAGTCACGACGATAGAACCCTCCGACAGATATTCGATTCCTCCGACTTCTGGAAGGACTTCTCCTCAAAAGCAAAATACCACTACGGCGGCAAGAACGCAGGACTTTTACAGAATCGGTATCTATCGAAGCCAGAAGGCTTCGCAGACTTCGCGAATGTTACCTTGCAGAAATGTCAGAAGATCGTGGCGCAGGTGCTGGAGTATAAGACAGTTGAGGAATACAAGAGGATAACGGCAGATCTGGATCGACTGAGTGACTTACTATGTCGAGTCATCGACCTCAGCGACTTCATTCGATCCGTTCACCCGGATAGACGGATACAAGCTGCTGCCACGCAAGCCTATGCAACCATGTTTCAATACATGAATGTGTTGAACACTACAAGTGGATTGAACGATCAACTGCAAAAAGCGGCATCGATGCCAGAAGTGGAGGCATCTTGGAGTGTGGAAGAGAAGACTGTGGCAGACATCTTGATTCGTGACTTCTCCAAGTCCGCCATCGAATTGCCGGAACAAGAGCGGAACGCCTTTGTCACGCTATCAGATGAGATTGCGGAGGTTGGTAACGAGTTTGTGGATAAGATGGCACCTGAGAAGCCGTATCTGCAATTCGAAAGCAGTAAGATGAAAGGCATGGATCCTGTATTTGTGAAGCAATTGACGAGATGGGGAAATGTTACGCTACCAATGGAAGGCATGCCGGCTACACTTGCAGTACGGACCGTCGAAGATCCCGATGTGAGGCAGGAGATCTATCTGGCACAGAGAACTTCCTCACCAGACAATATTCATCGTCTGGAACGGCTACTTAAAAGGCGGGCCGAGCTTGCAAAGCTATCGAACTATGATACTTTTGCACACATGACCTTGACAGATAAGATGGCCAAGACTCCTGAAGCTGTCACTTCATTCCTGGACGGACTGGCGCAAGTCAATGCGCCGCGTGTACGGGAGGAGCTTAAGGAATTGCTTGATCTGAAGAAAGGAGATGCCCATCACGGGAACTTTCCAGATAAGTTGAACGCTTGGGACAGAGACTACTACACCGCGCGACTGATGAATTCAATGCGGTCCAAAGCAAGGACGTCGGACTTCTTAAGTGCGTACTTTTCACTCGGCACCGTCTTCCAAGGTCTGTCTCGCCTGTTCCACAGACTATATGGGATCCGTCTCGTCCCTCGTGAGACTTTGCCCGGCGAGACCTGGAACGAAGACGTGCGACGACTTGATGTCATTGACGATCACAGCGGCCACATCGCAGTGCTCTATTGCGACCTTTTTGAGCGACCCGGAAAGAGTCCCAACCCTGCCCATTTCACGCTTCGCTGCTCCCGTCGTATCAGCGAGGAAGAAATGCAAGAAGCGGCACATATCTCTTCTCAACCTTCTTCGCCCTTTGCTACGGCTCAGGAAGCCGTCAATGATGGATTGGCAACAAACTTCAACCCCCGTGATCGCAACGCACTCTACCAACTACCAACCATCGCTCTAATCTGCGACTTCTCTCTTCCCCCACAAGGCTCGAAACGTCCTACTCTCCTCACTTTCCGTGAACTCACCACTCTTTTCCACGAAATGGGTCACGCGGTGCATTCAATCTGCGGACGTACTGCACTGCAAAACGTCAGTGGTACGCGCTGTGCCACCGATTTTGCAGAGCTCCCCTCTGTTTTAATGGAGAACTTCGCCGCTGCACCTGAAGTTCTTGCCTTGTACGCAAGGCATTGGGAAACCGACGCCCCGCTGGATCCAGCACGAGTGCAAGAGCGTGTCGAGATCGACCGCAGGATGCAAGGCGCTGAAACTGAATCACAAATCCTCTTGGGGATGCTAGATCAGCGGTATCACTCTTCCATTCCACTTTCTTGGCCTGAAGAATCTATCGGAGCCAGTACCAAAGTCTACCACGAGGTATGGAACAGGTATTCGTCTGCTCCAGAGCCTCCTGGGACGAGCTGGCAAGGTTTCTTTGGACATTTGTTTGGCTATGGAGCGACTTATTATTCTTACTTGTTTGATCGGGCTATTGCGGGCAAGATTTGGCGGGATGTGTTCCAACGGAAAGCGGGCGGCGCTGTCGATCCTGAGGCCGGACAGCTCTTCAGGGAGCAAGTCCTTTCGTGGGGCGGCGGGAGAGATGGATGGAGGTGCGTGGCCGGGGCTCTGCGGGATCAAGACGGAGTGCTAGCGGAGGGAGGGAAGGGTGCCATGGAGATGGTCGGGAAATGGGGTGTGCATACATGAAGAGATGCGAGAGAGACAGAATCCAAGAGACATGTCATGATACAGAAGACAGGAAGAGATGAAGTTCATACAGGCTCTTGTCAGGCCGATTTTTCTCCACAACAATGTGAGGTCACGGTATAATTTGGCTTCAAACACAACCTTAGCGCCCTTTGCATGTGTTCGGCTCCATCAAGGTGGTGTTACAAGTGTCGCGGCGCCAAGTCGGATGTCGAGCGCTTCAGGGTGGACCCATCCGCTGGAGTACTTCCGTACCACAGCCTATCTTATCGTTCTCCATCTCCATTCGATCACGAACCCGAAAGCTCACGATATCAAGCTGCGTGAGAGGACTCGATCTTGCTTTGGATTTCCAAACCAAACTCGGAGTCCACAACCGGCTCTCTGAAGCAACATCAGCCGACTGCAATCTGCATGTTGAACAGAAAGTTATTAGGTTTCCCAACATCTCACAATGCAGCACCTGGGGATGGAACCCCGCAAAACCCCGGAAACTCCGGAGCAAGCCCTCAGTGCTCATGTCGGCATCCTGACAAGTGAGTTCTACAAGTGCGTAGAAGGGTTCATGGAGCCTGCAGGAGACCCCAAGAGGCAAGTGTCAACGCACGTGAAAGTCTCCGGCACCATGTGCCAAGTACCAACAGGTGTGCAGATGAACGGGGGCCGTACCAATCCATTGGGCCGATCGTAGAGATTACAGGCGGCAGGGGTTCTCACGGCTCGTGGTTTAGCATCATCCACTCTGGTCAGAATGACGATACGTCTTCGCAGCACGACATGTGCATTTTATCTATCGCGTGAGACGTCGTACTGCGCATGTCCGCGTCGAAAAGCTGTTGATCGAGAAATGCTACACGGATCGCTTGATGTGTGCTACCTGCTGCGTTTCCACTTACCTTGCTGTTGTTGAAGGGCTGTAAACTTCCGGAGAACTCCCGACGGCTGCGATCGTAGATTTGCTGTGCTTAGGTTGCCTTTCGGTGGTCGCTCGCGCTACATCGATACGTCGCTTTGGATACTATACGGTCAAAAGAGACATCAGCGCTCAGCTTTCAGTGTTCCACGTTCTTCGAATTCTATACCAAACGCAAGTGCTTGGTGCTGGCAATCTTCGTCCGATATGGGATCATATTCAGCATATCCACCCCTGGTCTCCAGGCGCTCAGGCGTCTCCTCCACATCAGAATCGACGACGCCTTCGGAGGTAGACTTCGAAGATCTGGGCAAACAATTCCAGCGATTCGGACTCTCGAATCCTCAGAGACGAGATTCAGCCTATACCGACGCACAGTCGCAGCAGATCAACGACCAAATCGAATCATTTCGAGTCCAGCTATATCTCAGTCTCATTCCCGCGGGGTTGATGCCCAGAGATGCGTTTACCGTCGATTCGCGCACCGGAGTCACTGTTCTGCAGAAGCCGAGCGCTCAGACTCGACTTTTCCTTGTCAGGCTGGAAACGCTATGGCAAGCTGCAAATTTCGATGAAGATATAGCCCTTCACCACATGCTGCTCGCCGTATCAGATCGCCAGAGAGATCTGAGAGAGAGGGAAGAGTCAGCGGAGCTCACCGCTCAAGACCTGGAGCGCGCCATCGCAAGGGTGCAAAGAGAGGCATTCACAAGGTATGTCCTCACCGCTCGATCCCGGTCCTTGAAAGCTGATTTTGGTTGCGAAGCGTCACCGTATCAACGGCACATCACTATACGACGAGCCGGAGGTCTCATTCTTTCCCATGAAATAATGCCTATCCATCCGGTCCGCTGGAAAGCGATGAAGACGAGTACGATTTGAGCGAGGTACTGGATGGCGTTAGTAATGCAGTCTTGAAATTGCAAACCGCGAGTTATTGTCAACTATCGCTCCAACGCTTTATGTTACTCACATTGCATCTCGCCCAAGAAGATGGCCGTGAGCTTGGAGCCCCAGGGCTCTCACCTACCAAGATAAAATCGTTCACAACAGCTTGAGCAGTCGCCCAACGCAGGCAGCGCCTCCAAAGGTCGCACTAACGCCGCAGAAGATCACCAGAATACCGTAAGAGGTACCGTATGCGAACTTTCCAGGAACATGCCAACCAAGGTGTAGCAACTTCTCACTCAGCGGTCCGCTGATGATACCACCAATGCCTCTTCCTGCAGCCATGAGTCCTATGAAGGTGCCAGTATCGACTCCGTTGGCTGGATCATGCCTATTCATTGCACAAGCAGATCCGGGCCAGGTAGCGTTGTTTCCACCACCAAAGATGCCCCAAAGGATAGCAAAGCAGTAGAGCATTCCTTGCGACATTGCAAAGCCCCACAAGACAAAAGCAGCGAGCGTCGACCCAATTGCAGTTATGGAGATTACAATGGAGATGTGAGAAACACGGTCTGCGACATGTCCCAAAAAGATACCGCCCAAGGAGTAACCTCCGTTGTAGAAAGCCAAGCTCAGAGGCCCAGCGTAGGCTGGTAGTCCCGTCGCAGCCGCATAGGACGGCATCCAAAGCGAAGGTAAGAAGATGCCGAGGGAGTATGCAATATTGCCGAACATGAAGATCCAGAATGGTACTCTCTTGAAGAAAGCGAAATCCTGAGGCCGCAACGCGTTTGCGGTTGTTACGGGCAAGCGAGGCTTTACGAGGAATAAGCACGGTGTGGCGACGACAAGCTAGTCCCGATGGTTAGCTTCTCAAAGTGGGCATTCGAGTGCCCAGGACTACTGACCGTGACCACAACCCAGACTCTCAGGGCGATCCTGAAGCCATACTTTCCGAGCAACCACTCCATGACGAAGGGCACAATAACACCTGCACATCCCGTTCCCGCCCACATGGTTCCGAAAGCCAGGCCTTTGCGTGCCACAAACCACTCATCAAGGAATAGATTTGCGGGAAAATAGAGCAGGATGCTGCCTATTCCGTATACAACGCCTTGCGTGGCGATGAGCCCGAGTACGGAATTGCAGAAGGAAGCAGCGGCAAGACCGACGGCCATGATGACGAGTCCAAGTACCATGGCTGGTCTCCGGGTCCATGGCCAGCGCTGCAAGGCAATGCTGAGGAAAGGGCTAGAGAAGTAGGCAACTCCTGTCGCTGTTGTGCCGATGGCAGCGATGCTGCTGCTCTGGCTAGCGAACGGTTCGTGGGAAGTGTAGTAGACTTGGAAGACACCGAAGGAGAACGGCAGACCCCATACGATTCCTTCCAGCACGAAGCTGGCGGCGAGAAAAGTCCACGCTTGCCTCCCGCCGTCTGCGGGAGGTAGCCGGGAGTATGTGATTGAGCTGCCTGTCTCCGGCTCACGGCGTGCGTCGTTATCAGGGCCATGACGGTCTTGTGTGAAGTCTGTAAAGTCCGTCAGTTCAGTGGCCATGCTGCCAGTAGTGCACTTGTAGCGATCGCTGTCTATACTTGCCCGATGGTGGACGGGTGGTCAGGAAGGAAGAGGAAGTAGGACTCCGATAGTCCGGATTCATGACCCGGGTTTGCCGGGTAATTTCGTCGGCGCTAGCGTGGCAAGCGCGCTTAGTAAGGTAACAATGGGGTAAACATCATATCTAAATATTCACAGCATCAACGATGCGAAGCTTGTGAAAGACCATCTGCAAACAACACCAACGACGCGCTTCACCGGAGAAAGCGCTTGCTCTTTTCGCTTGGAGATACTCTTGACGCGAAAATCCCGAATGGAATATCGATGAGCAGACATGGCCGCCAAAGCCGGCCTCAAAGCGGCCAAGACTGCACTCGACAATCAGCAATATGACCGGGCGATAGAAGAGGCCCAATCGGTGCTATCATCGGACCCTCAAAACCACTTTGCAAAGCTCTTCCTTGGCCGAGCGCTTGAGAAGCAGGGGAAATTGGACGACGCCGCCCAGACATACCGTTCCGCCGCAAACGCCAAGCCTGACGACTCGCAGGCGTGGCAAGGTCTGTGTAGCGTCTACGAAGCCCTGGCCCAAAACTCAAAGAACCTCGACGAGTATCTTGAAGCAGCTGTCAAGCTTGCTGAATTCTTTGCTGCTGCTGATGATAAGCATCGTTGTCAGACCACGATAGATAAGCTAGTTGCCGTCACCAAGCAACATGGCAGTAAAGCTCAGATCAAAAACGTGTATCGTGTGTTGCTACCTGGCAGCACAATCTACGATTTCTTAGAAGGTCGATTACCACATCCTGCCAACACGTACGTCCGGCTTTCAGAGATCACTGAAGCCGAAGAGGAGCAGCGCATCAAGAAGGAAATCAACAATCGGCGTACTCGTATTGGGTCGAAAGTAGGCCAGGTCACGCTCGAGGTCAAAAGAGAAGTCTTTGGAAGTAGCGATCTGGAAACGCTTTACCAAAATGTCATCGATTGGTCAAACGACGACGGAGTTCGACGACAGTACGAGGAGAAGCTGCTTCAGAGGGCGTACGATGTTCTCGTCGTGTTACCCATGGAGCAGAAGTCGTCCAAGCTCAATCAAGTTCTTGACCTTGCTGAAGGCATGGTCATTATACACCACCCCTTCCTCATGGCTTGGGATTTGGTTCTGGAAACAAGAGACGTCGAAGACCTGAGAGAGTTGGATGCCAACATTCTACGGGAGTATATCGAGCTGTTCCCTGAAAGTGGCCTGGGCAAGACACTTCGAGGTTGGATCAACTGTGAACTGTCTCCGTTCCCACCGCCTCCGAAAGCGGAGGGAGATGATGCAAAAGAAGCCGAGCAACTCAGCCCGGAAGACCGTCTATTATTGCTCACTGATGGTCTCTCAGACGCCGAATCATCTCCGCTTGGTCATCGGCTTGTCAGTGAATACTTTCTACATCTCGAGGAGCACCAGAACGCTGTAGATACAGCCAGAGCGGGTATGAAAGCTGTGCAGAACGAGTCGAACAGGCTCAGCATGAGCTTCCAAAATACAATAGATGCGCTCAATTCGGTCTTGGGAACCACACTGGTCCACTACCAAGCACCAAGGAATCACGCCGAAGCGCGGCGACTTTTCGAGGACATCCTCCAACGAAAACCGAAATTCACACCTGCATTGATCGGACTTGGACTGATCTTCGAGGAGATAGAAGACTATCAGGATGCTATCGACTTCTTCGAGCGAGCTCTTGCTGAGGACAAAGGCAAAGTGCGTGTTGGCACAGAACTTGCTTGGTGTAGGGCGCTGAGCAGTGATTACCAACAAGCCATGAAAGAGCTAGAAGACTTCCTCCAGTTGATCAAGGCCGACGATCCACGAACTAGAGATCTCCGAGCCCAGACGCTGTACAGAATCGGCATATGCATGTGGGAGACAGACACATCGAAAACAGCACGAAAGGACCGCAATGGCGCATACAGTCGTTTCTTGGCTGCCATCAAGACGAATGTCAATTTTGCACCTGCGTATACCAGCCTTGGCTTGTACTACGCAGAGTATGCCAAGGACAGGAAGCGCGCAAGGCAATGTTTCCAGAAAGCTTTTGAACTCTCAACAGCAGAGGTGGAAGCAGCTCAACGACTTGCAAGATCATTCGCCGATCAAGGTGACTGGGACATCGTCGAAGTTATTGCGCAGCGTGTAGTCGACTCTGGGCGGGCCAGACCACCACCAGGGTCGAAGAAGAAAGGTATCAGCTGGCCTTACTCAGCTCTTGGTGTGGTTCACATGAACAAACAAGAGTACCAGCAAGCCATCGTTTCATTTCTTGCTGCCCTGCGGATCAGTCCTGATGATTATCAGTCCTACGTTGGCCTCGGTGAGAGCTATCACAACTCCGGCAGATACAACTCTGCCCTTCGGACTTTCAATTACGCCCTTGACCCGCACGATGGCGTAGAGATGAAGGTCACTGGTGAGACTTGGTTTGCTAAGTACATGCTTGCAAATGTCCGCAGAGAATTGGGAGACTTTGGCGAGGCTGCCGAGGGCCTGAGATCAGTATTGCATGAGCGGCCGAGCGAGTTCGGTGTGTTGATGTCCCTGATGCAGACTTACATCGAGCATGCTGCCAGATGTGTGGAGACCGGTATGTTCGGTCAGGCTGTCGACAACGCTAAGGACGCCATCGTTACTGCGGGAAAGATCGTGCAAGACAACCCAAGCGCTTTCAATTTGTGGAAGGCGGTCGGCGATGCATGTTCTACTTTCTCCTTCATTCAGAGCGGTACCACTCGATTCCCGATTGAAGAAGTGAGGCAGCTGCTAAGGACTTCTGCTACCGCGGAGACCTATGATCCCCTTTCTGAAGCCGATGGCGTCTCACTCGATGATCTCGATGAGAAAAATGGTACAATCCTTCAAAAACCATTGGTTGCGGCCCTATTGTCTTGTAAGCGAGCAATCCATTCAACCTCGCACGATATCCATGCCCAGGCGGTGGCTTGGTACAACCTCGGATGGGCGGAGCAACGAGTTTACGCCTGCCATGATGCGAAAGTCGGCAAGAGGCACCTCACTGCTGCCGTGAAGTGTTTCAAGCGTGCCATCGAGCTCGAAGCAGGCAACTATGAGTTCTGGAACGCCCTCGGTGTTGTCACCACCACGCTCAACCCTAAGGTCGCACAACACGCCTTTGTTCGTTCACTGCATCTCAACGAGTTGAACGCCAAGGTCTGGGTGAACCTTGGTGTACTCTATCTGCTACAGAATGACAATGAGCTCGCACATCAGGCTTTCAGCAGAGCGCAGAGCACCGATCCAGATTACGCCCATGCTTGGCTTGGAGAGGGACTTATCGCACTGCAGGTCGGGAACACTCAAGAGGCCCTGAACCACTTCACGCATGCCTTTGAGATTTCAGACTCTGCATCTTTCCTCGTCAAGCGTCAGTACGCCGTCTCCAGCTTCGACCATCTGTTAGGCTCTCCATCCGCTTCGAACGACCGTACAAAGCTCATCCAGCCTATTTTTGCTTTGGAGCAGCTCCGCGCACAGCTTCCGGAGGATCTTCCTTTCCGTCATCTGGCCGCCCTCTATCTGGAACGGGTGGGCAACCACATCGCAGCCATCGAGACTCTCACCGAGCTATGCAGCACCGCAGAGGCAGAATACGAAGCGTCGGAATCACTGGCTTCACTTGCTCGATTCGCACTAGCAAAATCGGACCTTTCCCGCAACCAACTCGCAGCTTCATCCTTCTCTGGGGCAAGCGAGAATGCAGAGACAGCCCTCGATCTCTCATCTGACGCCGATAGTAGCGGCTTAGACACAGAGGCGAGGGGGAAGCTACGTCTCTCTGCTCACCTTACCGCTGGTCTAGCACAATACAATCTGCAACAAATCGCCGAGAGTATCTCCATGTTCAAAGCCGCTCTTCTCGAAAGCGAAAACGATCCCGACGTCGTGTGCTCGCTAGTGAAAGTACTTTGGGCTGAAGGCGGAAAAGAGGAAAAGAGTGTAGCAAGAGACCAGCTCTTCGAATGCGTAGAACGCTACCCGCAGCATGTTGGTGCCGTCGCCCTTCTCGGAACCATTGCCGCGCTGGAAGACGATCAGGATACGTGTCTCGCGGTCCGAGACGACCTTCTCAGCATTCGGACGAAGGACGACATTTCCCGTCTGGACCTCGACGGCGTCGAAAACCTCTTGTCTGCTCTTGCTTCTCTTGTTGGGGATGGAGATGAGGCTACAGAGGCTCGTGCTGCTATTATGCTGAAACCAGATCATCCGCAAGCTTGGGCACGGTTGGCGGAAGCCTCCGGGGAGCCATATGCTGCGGAAATGGTGTTGAAGACGGCGTCAGCTTCTGTGCCGCCGCATGGGAGCATGGAAGCTTTTGAGCTGGCACGCGCACATGCGGGTGTTGGCACTGTAGGCGATGCGCAGAGGGCGGTTTTCTTGGCGCCTTGGGAAGCTGGTGGGTGGAAAGCGATGAAGGAGGCTCTTGATGGTTGATTGGTGAAGAGGTTTTGTACCGACTTGCAGCACAAGACGATAGGCGAGTGATTGAAATCTAACGATTGAACCATACATTACAGTGAATGTTTGCGGCATTTACGCCTCGCTATGCGCTATGAAACGTTTCCCGAACCATGACAGGCTCACATAAGTGCGCTGCTCGTTTCTCTACAAGACGTACGACAGCGCAACGATTCCCGTAGCGGCGATGAGCCAGGTATTCGCACTCGCAGCTAAGTGCTCCATGTTCGAAGCACCGATAGCGAAGTCTTCAGCCCCTTCCATCATCGATCACTCGTACGCAGAGAGGTGTGAAACCATTCCCCTAGAGTATCACAATGTGTCGTCTATCCAGCGTCATCTGGGCCGTCAGGAAATACTCACGGAATTTAAGATGACCATATGTTCTCTTGACTCAGCCTGAGTGGACCGAATCCTGTTCGAGCCAGGATCATGGACGTTTGTAGTGATATGCGCCGAAACCCGCGCCGCTGGAGCTGTTGGCTACGGTACGGTGTCGTTGTTGTCGTCGGCGAGGAGATCTGTTACAATCAAAGTCTTTCAGCACCAATGAATGAATGGGCGAGAGCGTCCTGTATGACGAAGCCTCATCTCCGCCCTCCAACTGTTTGATGTCAGAGAGATCTAGGTCCTTGCCACGACATCCAGTATCATCCCATTCAGACGCCAGCCATCGCTCCCGAACAGTCCCCGAGCATGCATCCCGCAGAGGACCCCGGCAGCTGGGTATCTTGAGCGTTGTCGCGTCCGTTGATACAGCCTGAGGGGAAGGGGACTTTTCCAGGACCGTCACGTCACGCAGAAAGATGGCTGGTCCGTACAGCTGGCCGGAAGTGGCAGCTTACCGCGTTCCGATACGTATTCTTCGAGATGAGGAAGTGAAAGTCCTATAGACGGGTCTTTAATCTTCGAGCATTATTCGGGATGGGGCTGGTGTCCTCCATAACCTCGACGCGACGGGTCTTGTTCCGATGTTCCATGTGCGTGGTTTGGCGGTCGTGGCTTCTGGTCCCACCAAGTGAAAGGAAAGGGAAGGTCTTCTCAGCCAAGAGGGCTTTGGTTTGCTTATTGATAATCTCCACCTTCGGGCTGAGGACCGACTGCGGTCTCAGTATAGTCCGTGAGCTCTTGTACGAGAGCGGCGATGCTATCAAGGAGGCAAGAAGATGCTGTGTGGGAGAACTCCATCTTCAGCAAGGCTGCGCGTCGTATGGAAACACAAAGTTGAAAATGGTGAACTGCTCCCCTCGTAGAATGTACGAGGATCCTCAAGGTGATGGATATGATTGCTGACGCCGTGCTGCGAGGGTGAGCTGCGTGCTAAGCCGGCGCATCCAGGTACTCATTGACCACCACCCAAGACCAACGCCATGGCATCCGCTTCTCTTGTCGCGAACAAAGCCACATGGTTGCGTCTGCGGTAACTATCCCTTGTTCAATTTTTGTTCTCGGCATCTTGGGGACGCCGAGTTGAAGCCCTTATCGTTGGTCAAGATGGCATGAACAAGCAGCGTCTTGACTGCGAATTGATATCGCGTATTGGCGCCACATCAGGTGATGATGACATGGTCTCTGGAAAGCATTCTTGGCCAGCAAGGAAGACACTAAGGGTCATCATTGATTCTGGGGACTCAGCTATCAGAAGACGACATTGCCGGCGTCCGAAGTTTCAGGAGGAGGATTGGCTTCGGTCATGTCACGCCGTCGGGCCGTGATTATACTTCTTGTCCTCGCAGCGACTGCTCACAACCGTCGACTTTTCATGATTGTTTGAGTAGCTGTTGAATCGCTCTTTGTGCTCAGTAGGCCTGTCGTGAAATCGCTCGACCGATTGTGAGGCCTTTCCACGCACATATCGAGACAGAGGCCAAAGAGTGAGTTCCAACGCTGGCGTTGTCAGCTCAGAGTAGTCTCAGTAGAAATGCTTGGCGAACGTCTTGGATGTGCTCATCAGAGAGACCGGGCTCAGTTACGAGGCTTCTCTCGTCGGGCGTTGGCAGTCATAAAAGAAGGTATCTGGTTAGGACACTGCGACCAAGCAGCTGACCTCAGCAATTCGCGCTGAGCCATTCGCTCAGCAGAGTCTCTTCTCTTGGAATAGGTGATGTCTTTGAAGCCAGGGATCATTGCCCGAGACTATGGACGATGGCGCAGTCGATGTGGACAGCAACTTGAGTGGAGAGTAGGAGCGAGGTGGAATGTTCCGCCCAGCTGAACTTTTTACCGGCGTTTTGAAGCCTCAGGCCCGAAGCGTTAGAGAAGAGTGCCGACTACGTTCAATGCAAACGCCTTGACTGTCCCTGTGACGACGCAATTCCCAAAAGACGCTGGTACCCACAACATCAGCAACTTCATTACCGCAATTTCTTCCCGATGCATGACCCATTCATCCCATCATGATTACAATCGCATCCTGTCTATCCTGTCTTTGCTTTTCGTTGCCCAACGTATCCAACGCCGGACGGGTATTTACATCACATATAACAAATTCGTATCTGTCGACAAAGTTAGCCTCGACAACGCATTGGCAGCCAATGGGGAGGATGCGTACCAAGAGGATGACTGCAGCTCAACTGCGGTTTCTGAGAGTACTTCGCTTGAAGCTCATCGCGAATGCTGTTGAGAAGCTGCACGTAGCTCTGTTGTGGGTTCTTCTTAAGAGCCGTAATAAACGCCCACGACATGGCGCCGGTAGCTTGTCCTGCGATGCTGGCATCGGCCCTAAGAATATAATGTGTCAGCACGTGCACTTTCATATCGCTTGAAGTGACCGGCGAGAGCTCCTGTCGTGGCGTCATGCGATAGTGCCAACGCAACTCATCGTCCCTCCCCCTTGAGGCCGCCACGTAGGGCTCCTCAAGGCGGAGGGACGTCAGAAAGTGTACGCTACACTAAACACAATACTGCGACTTGTGCCAGAGCTTATAAAGCTCAGCAAACGCCACCAACGCCACGCTCATATGCATCACAGGAGCTCTCGCATCAACATCACGCAAAGATTTGTCCCTGAACACTGCTGTGCTGCCATGAAGGTTGCCAGCACGGAGCAGCCATCACAGGCTCAGGGAGCGACATATCGGATTCGTCAGCAAAACGTGGGTCCACATACGATGTTTGGCTGTCCTTGCTGCCACTCCACATGATGACATCCGCCGGACTAGTCTTTGTGCGCAGGTTGCGCTCGTAAGTGTCGCCACCACTAGTAGCCTTCTTGAAGAGACCCATGGCGGTAGAGGCAATACCTCCCATATCGCCACGGGCGTATGATGAGACAATGCTGAGCAGGCCTTGTCCAGCTTCCTTGGCAAGGTTTGGCTCTTTGAGGACACCTTGGGTGGAGTAGATGTATGGGAGGTCGAGTGCTGAACCGGAATGACAAGAGTCGAAGATTGCCGTCAATCTCACACCGGGCTGAAGCGATTGTACCCTAGCGACGTCAGTCGTGTACGTGACTCTTCGTGTGCCATGGAACTCACATGATACGGTGCATCTCATCGTCAACAATATGTCCAGCCTGTCGGAAGTCAACGGGGTAGATGACCTCATCGTATCCGTCCTCCTCGTCGCCATCCAAATCCTTGGTCTGACCGCCGTGGCCAGAGTAGTGGAAGAACAAGGAATCGTTAGGTCTGGCGTCTTTCACCAACCAATGCATGGCTCTAAGGAGGTTGGCTTTAGTTGGCTGACTCATGGGATTTTGCTGGTCGTCTGTCAAGATAACCATGTCTTCTCTTTTGTAGCCAAAGTGCCCGTTCAAATACGATGACATGTTCTTCACATCGTTGATACATCCTCGCAGCTGGCCTCGTTGTCCGAAGTAATTGATGCCGATCAATAATGCTTTCCGGCGTCCCGTGCAATTCGAATACTGGAAAGTATAACCCTGAGGAGCACCGTGGCCGAAGCCCTGCTGTGATGTAGGTGGTGGTGGAGGGCGTCCGTAACCACCTTGCTGAGGCGGCGGTTGCTGGTACTGCTGCGGAGGTGGATAGCCGGCGTTCATCGGAGGTTGAGGAGAATGGCCGTAGTTTGGAGGAGGTTGGCCGTAGCCCGGCGCTGGAGGGGGAGCGTAGCCGCCGTTCCACCCTGGTTGCGGCGAAGGACCGCCATATTGTCTATCGACACACTGTCAGGTCTTGGTTGCTACTTGACGCGTCGGAAACGAGTATAAATGCTTACGGAGGAGGAGGAGCACCGTAGCCATTCGGAGGACCGTATTGCTGCGGAGGAGGATATTGGTTGTGGTAGCCTTGGCCTGGATAGTAGGACATGATGTAGGCAGGAGTTCTGCGTTGTGGGATGTTGGTGTTCAAAGGGAGGTTCTTCGGCTTGGTCGGCTCAAGGCCGATGCTGACGATGGATGAGGAGAAGCCGATGGGCGAAATCGCTGATAGTTATTTGTGCTCGCAGACGGATAGCGCGCGTGGGAGTCAGGCGGGGTCGTTCGGGAGATGGTATGGAAGCGCCTTCGACAGGTTTAGTGCGGATGACGGTAGTGCTACGAGGAGGTCGAGGCTGAGTAGGGGTGCGGTGCGGCCACGGGAGCAGCCGCGGTCCGTACAGCGTGTGTCGGGGGGTGTACTAGGTAGATTGTGTAGCGTAAGGTGTCGCCGGTCGGTCGCGGGTACAAGGCGGCGATGCTCTAACAGATGCGCGTGCGGTAGTAGTGGGGAAAAACCAACAGAGAGGCGTCGGGTCGTCAGTGGAAGTCACGCTGTCCCCTCGACCCCACACATAAGGTCCGTGCTCCCGTCCCAGTCCAGATCCTTGGGAGCGTTCCAGATCTTCCAGGTTCTCTCTTGTTCTCTTCATCCCAACAACACCCACACACCCGTGCCTCCTATCATGGCTGCTTCCATCACCATCTTCGACGCTGTTCACCCTCCAGCTCTGCCATGACACCGTCGTGTCCTCACGAGTCTCTGCGCATCACAATCCCCACGCACGAATGCTCTCACGGCCTCGCCGAAGCCACAGCCCACAGCATGCAGAGCCATGCAGACCGCTGGCACGCTTGTCCGTTAGCATGCAGCCTTACACACCCAATGCCCTACTGCACCTGCACTTCGGCTCCTTAACTTCCCACTGACTCCTCTGCCGTCCTTGGTAATCATCCCCATTACATGCCACGTGCTGCGACCTCGCCGCGGAGAGTGCGAGACTCTGTCATCCACCTCCGTGGCTTGGTGAACGTGCAGGATGACCTCGACGCTGTCGCCAATATTCGGCGTTATAAGCCCCAAGGAGTCCCCATTAGCGTCCCTGTGGCTGTCCCGACTCTTGCCCAACTCTTCGCGAAACCAGCCCATGCGTCTTCATGTGGCAGAGGCATGGCGGTGTGTCTCACGTCACGATTTTCTGGGGTGTTCACTGCAACATCGCACGCTGTGTGCGTCACAGAGGTTACAGCTTCGACATGTTCTGACTGCAATGAACCACGATATATTCTCTGCGCCACGTCCCTAGTAAGACGAGTCTCTCCTAGTGACTCGCATTTCCTTTCTCAGTCGCAAAGCTGTCAAGAAACGAGTCGCACCTTCGCGGTTAAGATGCAGGAAGTACGACTGCAACATGTCCATGTCATACTCGACCGTCGTCACTGCAAGGCCGGTAAATCCCACTTGCCTAGTCAAACCATCAACGAGTCAAATTCTGATGATCAGCTGCCAGAATCAAGATTGCCAACGGAACTCTGAATCCTCCTTTCCAAAAAGACTTGTTCGAATTGAGCTCTGTGTTTGCAAAGGACGCGGAGTGAACCAATAGCATGAATTAATAACCATATGCATGCACACCTGTGCCAATGGGCTTCCGAGCGGCAACAGCCACAGCAGCCACGAATTTCCACTCAGCCCTGCAAGCCACGCGACAAAAATTATCCTCTCGAGAGCCGAATGCATGCTTAATTCATCAACGATTCGTGCCGCGATCCTCCGCTTCAACTTGCCGCTGCGAGAGACTTGGACCCTATGCGACTTTGTGGAAACTCACTTTGCTTTCCATCGAACTCGACCTATCCAAGCCGCCCATTTCTGCACATCCTCTCTGTCCAGCAGTAGGTCCACGCTATACAAATCTCGCGCTAACTCCTCATTGGACGCGATCTTGTGAACACAAGAATGACAGGCTCGACATAGCCACGCAACCTTGTTCAATTCCCATTCACTGTGCCAGCCGCGTTTGACAACCTTCGCATGTACCTGTCTTGGAATAAGGTGGTGATACGTCAGAGGAAGATGCTCTCTCCCACAAATTTCGCATCCATCGGGACGAGTTGCTGTCAACGCGGGCGTGTACTCTGGCGGCGGCGATGTAACGGCGGTAATGTATGATGAGAAGACAGCTTCGAGGAATCGATTCAGGTCTGTGGAATCGGCCATCAGGTGGTAGGAGCAGAGGGAGTCTGAAATCGAAAGAGGCAATGGTTCGACCAGGTCCTCGATCAAGGCTGACTCCATCGGCACTTGATAGGTCACCTTGAGCGAATCGTCCTCCTGTATTCGAGCATATGACAGCGTGCGAAGGACACTCGGAAGAGAGGTAAAGATCTGCTCTGCTAGATACTAAAAACCTCGTCAACAAAGATGAAGGCGAAACTTGCAAGCTCTGGCGCGAACCTCGACAAAGTCCGCAAGCTCGGTCGCGTCGTCGAGACCATTCTCATCGTCGACTTTCACTACCGGTTTGATCTCATTCTTCCTGCCCTTGATCGATCGCTTTTTCGTCTTCTTGCCACTGGATGGGGCTAGCTTCTGGATCACGCTTGTCGATAGGCAATCTTGGAAAGTTTCAAAATTCGACCGCTCATGCTCGGGTACCATGGGTTCAAAAGTCTCAGAGCGTCGATTATGTGCGGCGACCAGACGGATGCAATTCGCAAGGTATGTGTGGTTACGTGTAATTGCTGTGAAAGAAGATGAAGTCTTGACAAGCTCAAGATCGACATCATCTGCAGACCCACCTGCCGTATGAATTTGTCGATCACCCGCGCATGCGTATGAGATGTGAATAGAGAGATGGAAACAGAAATGCTGTGTGAAGATCGTATTTCGATCTGTCTGAGTCTGTAAGTATCACTGATGCTGATGCTGATTTAGATACCGACTGCAAAGTGAAAGAAGAGACCAAGCCCGGCTTCGGCACTGAACACCGGTTGGCCTCGGCCCGGTGCTCCCTGCCAAAACTCTCTGCAGCCGACGACATCGGAGGAATGTTGTAATCATCGACTTCAGCTACATGCTCGAGCACGAGTTGTAGGTAAACAAGGCAGCTTTTGACACTGCTGCAAGCGTAAGAAACGTTTCCTCCACCATCCCTCCTATCTTTCACGGCATTGCAGAAGTACCAGCTCTATCCAACCGATCGAACACGATGCCCATCACCGAAGGCGCCCCAAGACACGGCAATCCAGCCCATCTCCTGCCGCCGTCATGGAAGAAGAGCGTCACTTTGTGGCTAGAAGAGGACACACCTAGCTTCGACTATGGCGGCTTCGTTGTTGGCGACAGTCCCGCCGAAGCGCGACTTCTGGCCAAGAGCAAGGGCATTATAGCAGGCGTACCATTCTTCGACGAGGTCTTCAAACAGCTCGACTGCACAGTCGAGTGGCACGTAAAAGAAGGCGATGGAGTGGGCTTGGAAAAGAAGCAGCAAGTCGCGACAGTGAGAGGGCCAGTTCGGAACGTCCTGCTTGGCGAGCGCGTTGCACTCAATATTCTGGCGCGATGTTCAGGAGTTGCTACAAAGTCACATTCTCTGCTTTCGCTGCTCAGGAAAGCGGGGTATAAGAATGCATTGGCTGGGACCAGGAAGACGACACCCGGCTTCAGATTGGTGGAGAAGTACGGGATGTTGGTCGGTGGATGCGATCCGCACAGACAAGATCTCAGCGCCATGACGATGCTGAAGGACAACCATGTCTGGGCATGCGGAGGCTCGATCCCTACTGCAGTCGCTGCAGCAAAGGCTTCTGCGGGATTCGCGGTGAAAGTCGAAGTGGAGTGTCAGTCAGAGGAAGAGGCGAATACCGCGATCGAAGCAGGTGCTGATGTGGTCATGCTGGACAACTTCACATCCGATGGCGTCCGCATTGCTTCGAAGAGTTTGAAAGATCGTTGGGGAAGAGGCACCAATGCGAGAGCACTGATCGAAGTCTCGGGCGGTCTGACGGAGGAGAACGTCGCGGAATACGTGTGCGACGACATCGACATCATCAGCTCGTCAAGCATTCACCAGGGCGTGAAGCACATTGATTTCTCCTTGAAGGTGATCCCGAAAGAGACAAATGGAAAGCTTGGGAATGGCGAGACGGTCGATACGTGAAGGGCAAAGGCTCAATAAAATAGGTAAAGAAAAGCATCGCGCCGCTGGGTACTGACATCTTTCATTCACTTCCATTTCTGCAACTTTCCAATCGAGCCTAGTGTAACTTTGATTTCCCTCCGTTTGCGGGACGAACCTGGTGCCGAAGTTTTAGCTCCCGCCTCGCTTGTTTCCAAGATATAATTTCACGACTTCGACTTCTACATGCGAATGTCCGGAGACTTAACGACCGCACGCCCAAGGATGCCGTTCGAGTTCACGGGCGCGCCGCCCGTCTGGGGCTCGATAGGTCCATCCGAGCCATTTGCGCCTTCCAAAGGAGAGCCTGGCGCGACCTCGTCATCAAACACATATGGCGCTCAAGCATCCTCCCACTCGAGCACGGCCGATGTTGATGAAGTTGCGTGGTCGCAGACGACCTTGCCCTTCGCCAGAAACGCTGGACCTGCATCATGGCCTACTTCTTCTTCCAGCCCATTTGGCTCTTCTGCTTTCGCCGCAATTCCATTTGCCGGAGAGACCAAGCAAACTCGACTCGCGTTTGGTAGAATGACAACACCAAAATTTGGCTCTCCAGGACTCGGCACTCCAACGACCTTTTCGAACTTTGGATCGCAGACGAGCAGTACCAATGTAGCTTCCAAGCAAGCCCCATCATCGACTTTTGGTACGGCAGAGGGATGCAGATTGAAGACAAGTGTGGCAGGCTGCCCTTTATACGACCGCCTTGCCAAGGCATTGATACGACTTGGCAAGAAGAAACCGGCCCTGTTCAGTAGTATCGATATTTCTGAAGACAAAGTCCTAGGAGCGATGTCCGTATTGCCAGAGGACACTGCGTCTTTGCTTGAGCAGCTGCAAAAGGCTGAGAATGTCGCACCCCACATCGCTGCGTTTACAAAGGCTTCCTTCGGCCGTCTTGTCAATGCAGAGATGCAGAAGGACGAAGGGAATGAGGACGCTGGACTCGCAGGATCAGCTGGGCAACACGCAGCGAAACTCGAAGACGACGCGAACAGCGAAATCGATATTTTTGTTACGCGAGACTACCGCGATGATCTTTGCAAAGGACCCCTTGGATACCGCTGTGAGGCTCCAGGCTGCTGGGGGAACCCATCTACTGAATACCACGACGACATTCCCGCTTGGCGCGTCCACTTTTGGGCTTTCCACAAGGACCTGTGGCGGCAGATCCAGCGCGAAGGCGCCCCGGAGAGTCGAGAAAGTGAAAGTGACTCTGACGAGGTCGAAGAGGAATACGAAAGACCTTTACGCCTACGTACACCGCGTGACCACCCGCTTGTACAGAAGGCGGTAGAGACGCTGATTGCTGGAGCGCGGCTGGAAGACCTGGTCAACAACCGAGAGGGCGTAAGGGTTCTCGCAAACTATACCATCGATCTTTTCTACCGGGGTGCCGTGAACTCTACCATCACTGATGAGCTTGAGTCTTCTCTGGGTGGCAGGAGGCGTGACGGGCTGACTCGTCTCGTGCATGAAGCGCGCGAGGCTCTCGAGGATGTTGAAAAGGAGCATCGGCTGTTACCACCCTCATCCTCTCCACAACCAGACTCAGCAAGCCAGGCAAAAGTCAGAGAGGCTATCATGAGCTCGATGCAAAAAGAGATGGGTAACTTGGCGGCCGCCAGTCACGGGGAATCATCTGTGCTCAAACCAAATGAGATGACTTTTAGATTCCTCGATCTGCCCGCCGAGATGCGCAATCTGGTCTACCGAGAGCTTCTTGCGCCAGCACCGGGCTACATTGGCCTCACCCACCGCGGTCGCTCATTTCTAGGGAGTGCAAAGAGTGTGCGACAATCTCACTGTCGGCCGCTACTACTGGCGACCTGTAAGCAAATCCACAAGGAAGCAGCTGGCATCATGTACCAGGAGAACACTGTTATGATATGCGCCAAGGCCTGCATGACGAATCATCCCATGATCAGGAAGGAATTACTACCGGATCCCGTCCTCTCAAAGCTGACATCACTGGTCCTTGTGCTTGAGAACAGGGTGTATCACCAAATGCGTCGGCGAGATATGGACGGAGTACACTGGAAACAGATCCAGGATATGACAGCGCTGAAGAAGATCCGGATCTGCATTGTCGAGCCTAAGGGCACGCCAGATGTGGAGAAGGTGTGGATGCTGGAGCACATCATGGAGCGTATTCCGGCTGACTGCAGTGTCTCATTCGAAGCACGGAGAGGATTCGAAGATGATTTCGTGCAGGAGGTGCTCGATAAGTGGGAGCAGAAGCCAATGCTCCGGCAGTCAGATGCGACGGAGGTGGACGAAGCGGTGCTCAAGCGCTTGGCTTCTCAGGTCAAGGGACAGAAGGGTTGCAAGTCTGGGGATCCGCATGACTATCGCTTCCCGAAGAGAGGCATTCCACAGCTCGGTCAGCTGGGCGGAGATGTGGGTGAGGTCGATCCAGGTATTGTCCTTGGTGGTCTGCAGACGTGAGTGCAGTCCGGAGTCTGGAGTAGTGTGTGGAGAGAAAGGGGAAGGCCACATGTCAGCCATGAGTGCGATGCAGGGCAGTGTGAAGAGGACTTGGATGGACGAATGGCGGGAGCTTGGGCTTGTAGGAGATGCTAGGCTCGTACTCGTGTCATCGCATGGCAATTAGCTCATATCTACCGGTCGACTACGACCCGACATTTCGATTGTAGTTTGTAGTTTGTACACTACTCCGGTGCTGCTCTCACATGTTCTGTAGGTGGTGGTGTTCTCTGCTCATCACCAGTGAGTGCGTGTGGCACGAGCACCACCAGTGCGTGTGGCACGAGCACCGTCAGCGACCAATGAAGTGGCCACCTGTGACATGACGTCCGTGCCCGACGACCCTGCTTTTCTGCTGCCACGTCCCCGCCATACTGAATTCAATATTTAGGAGTCGAGATCCAACAACACCTCACCACACATCTACCATAACCTGCGTTCTTCCTCGACACCTTCGCACATAATCCCCTCGAGCAATCTTCGCATCCTCCCACGCTTGCAAACTCATTGCCCACCATGGCGGCCGCAGCCACGAACCCGCACATGGAGCTCGATCCCAAATACGACCACTATGATTTCCCTACGACCGCTCCAGATCCGAAGCCAGGCCACCCGGGCCACACCACCAAAGAGCAGGATGCCGCTGTTCATCAGCTTCGTATGACCCTTGAGCAGGAGGGCTACAGCAAACGGCTCGATACTCTGACCATGCTTCGCTTTCTGAGAGCGCGCAAGTTCAACGTACAAGCGGCAAAGGAGATGTACGACAGCAGAGCGGGAATGGGCAAGTTAACCGTGACTGATTCTTGTGGTGAACAGGTTCGTCAATTGCGAGAAATGGCGTGCGGAGTTTGGCGGCGGTGTGGACAACCTCGTGAAAACATTTGAGTACAAGGAAAAGCCGCAGGTGTTTGCATACTACCCGCAATACTACCACAAGACGGATAAGGATGGACGACCCGTCTACATCGAACAACTGGGCAAGATCGATCTGGACAAGATGCGTACCATCACCACGGACGAGCGCATGCTGCAAAACTTGGTGGTTGAGTACGAGAAGCTTTCCGACCCGCGTCTTCCTGCTTGCTCGCGGAAAGCCGGTCAGCTCCTCGAGACATGCTGCACCATCATGGACTTGAAGGGCGTCGGCTTGGGTAAGGTCGGCCAAGTGTACGGATACGTGCAACGAGCATCGGCTATCAGCCAGGACTATTACCCTGAGCGACTCGGCAAATTCTACCTCGTCAACGCACCATGGGGATTCAGCAGCGTCTTTGCCGTTGTCAAGCGTTTTCTCGACCCCGTTACTGTCAGCAAGATCCATATCCTGGGAGGCAGCTACCAGAAGGAGCTCCTCGCCCAGGTGCCTGCGGAGAACCTGCCAACCGATTTTGGCGGCAAGTGCAAGTGTGCCGGAGGATGCCAATTGAGTGATGATGGCCCATGTAAGTTGAACTCATCTTCGAATGCTTGGCCGCATACTAATGCTCCGTCACAGGGCAAGAGGCTCAATGGTTGAAGGGAAACAATGACAGCATTCCCGCGACTGAGAGCCACACCGGCGAAGGTCAGCCTTCTACTGACGCCGCAACGGCCCCAGAAGCCCAAGGACATCCAGCTGGCGAGGCTCATGCAGCTGCAGCGGCTCAGTAAACGATGAGCACTTGTTGTGGGTGGTTGGTCTATCTGGAAGCGCCTACGGGACGGTATACAAACAAGCATGGGAGGCGCGTGTTGGCGCATGGGTAGAATGAGATACCCGGATCAGAATACGTCTCAGGCTTATTTGAGTAGGCCTGCTTGTGAGCACTCTTTCGTTTTACGCCCTCAGAACGCCCGGCTTTGGAAGCATCTCACTTTCAACTCGCCGTGTCGCGCATGTGATCGTCAAGTATAGAAGAGTCTGACGGGTAGTAGCGATTGGCGTGTTGCAATTGCCTGCTCGGCTCATTCAGCGTTCTTTCCAGCTCTTTTCACCGAGGCCGCGTACCTTCTTCTTGACAATGAGTGCTTTACTGATCTACCAGCGCTCCTTCAACAACACAGCAATAAGCAGGCACATTCATGATCACGCAGGCGGCAGTTGACGGGCTCAGGCTCAATGCAGTGGCAGCGCTTTCTGGAACTCCAAGTACGTTCTTCCTCCTCTCTTCCTCCGTCCACAGCTCTGTTGACTCTCCTTCGCTTCATCATACAGCAACTCCATTACTCGTCAGGCACTTGGGCTGCCTGATCATTTGGATAGCCAGTCTTGGTCTCTCGTTCACACACAAGCTTCGATCGGCGGCACAATGCCCTTCACGGATCCCGTTTCCAGCGTTAGCGGACGCAACAGCAGAGCCAGCAACGTCTCTGGAGCGACGGGAGCATCTCGCTCCGTCCGCTCTCCACCACCAAGCATGCCTCCGAACGACACATTGGCCAACGCAGGCGTCCTCAGTATGTTAAAGACTTCTACTGATACTGGCGACATTGGTGCCCTCTCCTTCAACAGCTCCCGCTTGCCTTCCATGCCGCGAGCCACCCACCAGCGACGAGGACACGCTTCTAGACCTTCAATATCTGCACAGCACATGTCAGGCACTACCTCGAATCACAGCTACGCACCATCTCAGGCTTCACGCATTAGCTCCCAGTGGGATGCTCAGTCGACCCAAAGACGCGGCTCCCTCACCAGCATGCAGAGCATGCCGCCTTCCCTCCCGCCCGTTCATCTCGGAAAGCCTTCTCTGCACACAATGCCTCCAACGCCAGACAACCCTCGCGAGCCTCGCTCGTACTCCATGACGTCCGCAGCGCCCAGTCAGCAGCTCCCGAGACATCGATCTGCTACAAGCCTCAAGAGCCAAGGACATGAGCCGCGCAACGGATCTCGGCCACCTCCAGGTCCTGTTCCGCCTATGCCAGAGAATCGGGGCCCATTCGTGTATCCGACGAGGTTGAAGCGTCCAGGATATCGTTCGCCTTCGCCAGCACTCAGCGATACGTACCCTCATGTGGTTTCACACAACATGCCTCTCAGAGCTCCAATGGCTAGCCCGCCGCATCAGCCTTCAATGCAAGGCTATGGTGGTTACTACGGACACTACCCTGGAGGCTACGCTCAAGACCCACGGCACTTGAATGTCCGGCCACCACCTCGTACAGCCACCAATTCTCCTGGAGCTTACGATCCGAACGTGTACAACTACCGGACAGGCTCAATTCGCGGTGGAGTCCCGCCAATGATGCAGCAGGGCATGCCGCAGATGATGCACCCACAGCACCCACAGCATCCAATGCAACCACCGCATCCCTCGATGCTACCACGAGGAGGATACAACGCTCCTCAGTACGGCCCGCCGAGGCCTGGCCATGCATACCCTCAAGCTCCGCATGCTGGGTATCGCCACCCTCCACCATCCAACGTCGGACCTATGGCTCATCAGATGTTCCACAATGCTGCACGCATGGCTCGCCATCTTCCGCACCGTACTGACACTCCAATGACTGACGTGCCATCGTCCGATCCTGCTTCATCGAGTTCAGCACCGGATTCATCCAACCCGCCGACTCCGAAGGACCACACCACGATTCAAGTCGTGGTTGATCCCGCGTTTATCAACCCGGACTTGGTCGACTTGCCTGATTCATCAAGCGAGCCTGTGCTTCCTGCAAAGTACTTCGACTATGCAGACGGACTTGAGAAGCCGATCCATGAGCCAGACATTGAGGTTCCGCACCCTTCAGTACCACCTTCGGGGTTTGTTCAGAGAGTCAAAGCGATGCTGGAGTCGAAAGCTGGAGCCGAAGCGGCGGCCAAGCGGGAGCACGAGAGAGGCAACCGTCTGGAGCAAAGCATGCTCTCCATCGACGCCGATCAGGATCAAGAGGACGTCTCCGAACTGATGGAGCTTCACGAGCTTGCTGCCAACGAGGCTTCGCGGTTTACCATCATCGAAGAATTTGAAGCACCTGTCGAACTACCAGCTTCGCCCGTGAAGATTCCGGAGCTCGAGGCTACTGAGCCTGGCGAACGGCACGCGGAGTCGCAACGTCTTACTCGAGAGCTGGTCAAGGCGGAACTTGGCCCTTCCAGCCCTGACAATACTCAGGCCCAGCTGGATGACACTACGACACGTATGATACTGGGCCTTGATCAGGCGACGCAGACTGCAGAAGAAGCCATGACAGAGGCTGCTTGTCAGTCTGGGCCGTCATCGCAACGTTCATCAGATGAGAAGCGTCGTCAAGAATCTGTCGCAGAGACTGTTGCTACCGAGTCCGTTGCAGCGTCACTACCAACTACGGCCGACTATGTGATGCAATTTCAGGGCCCAATGGACACTACCGTGGCTTCAGACGAGACGCAGTCCAACAATCCATTTGCCTTAGACGCTGACACCATTACCATCCAGCACACCAAAGGCTCCTCTCCAGAGCGCTTGTCCGATATCAAAGAATGTGTCACTCCAGAGCCTCCGCAGGACCAGGAACACTATGGAGACCAGACGCCTCTGAGTCCCGTGAGCCCTCTACGGCCTGGTGAGATAGTGAAGAGGTCTTCTGCTGTCAGTCCAGTACAGACAGAAGTTACGAATGGCATTGACGAAACCCTTCGTCTTGCCAACGACGAGAGGACTGAAACCAACAGCGTCGGCGAGCAGTCGAACTTTGAATCATCGCAGCCGGCTGAGCCCATGCCTCCACCCACGCCGCGGACTCCAAAGACCTATTCGAAGTCCGTTCAGCTTCGCCCAAGCGTGACTATCACCGACAGCAACAGCACCGGGAGCAACCGTTTCTCTCTGCCCGGCGACCTGAGCACAGTCGGAGACACGACCTTCAACAGCGCCTCCGACATGGTCACAGACATTGCTGTGCGATTCTCGCTTCCTCAGACGACAATCACCGTTGGCAAGCCACAGATAATTGATGTCTCCACAAGCTCCACGCCCGATAGAGCCAAGCAAGAAGTGTCGTTTGGTCCCTCGACTCAGAATGCCGACCTTAAGGCAGCCAGACGTAGTTCGGTCATGTTTGCCGACGAAGTGGCATCCCTCAACATCAACAAGAAGCCAGAACAGCATCGTCCACTCCAAGGAGCGGAGGCTTCTATGGCCAAAGGCAAATCCATCATTCGACGATCATCGCCACGAGACGATATTGACTTTAGTAGAATTTCCCGCGACAGCACCATCGACACGCGGTTTACGGGCGGCAGCAATCTCAACGGCATCAATAATCGTTTTGGTAGCACACACCTTCCCGGTCTTAAGGAAGAGTCGATTGAAGATATGAGCATCTCAGATCACAAACGGGTGCCCGGAGGATCCAATGGAGATCAATTTCCTCTGCCAGCTCGCATTGCGGCTGTCAAGGCCATGCAGGAGCGTCGATTGCAAGAGTCGGCCGATAAAGCTAAAGCGCGGCGTCAGGCTCGTCAGCATAACCGACCGCTTGCAGACACCAGAGATTTGCCATCGCTGAACTTCAGCCGGACCGATCTGATTGACAGATTGAACGAAGCATTGGAGGTTCGCTCGGCCACATCAATGGATATTGTTCGCCGCCGTGACTTCACTGGCATTCACTGCCCTTCGCCTCAGCGTCCGTTGAGTACCGAGCCTCTGCGAGAGCGGTACACGAGCTTCTTCAGCAAGCCAGAAGAGTTCACGTTCCTTGACGATCAGCCCGACAGCGAGGATGAGGAAGATGATGAGTCTGAGCCTGAGCCTGAGCACAACAACGAGAAAGCTCTTGTTCCGACCTTGCAGATCCAGGAGCAGACTGAAATCGAAGGCGTTGAGCCTGAGAAGCGTCCTTTGTCTCCAGAAGACTTCCTCAATGTCGCCTCGCAGGTCCAGCGTCTTTCCATACCTAACGTCAACGGGCTTTCGGATCGCTTGTCAGAGCTCATTCCCGGGCTTCGTAATTTGTCCAACCTGCAACTGGACAACATCTTTGCAAATGCCTCCAGCCGCGAAAGCCTCCGCCGCAGTCTTGAAGCCGCCAGGCCTGATACTCTGATGACGAATCGAACCTCTGCAGGCTTCCGCACCCTCGCCGAGCGCGCGGAAGAGATTGTCAAGAACGGCACTCACGACTCTGTTGCTGCCCATGGTCTTGCACTGAACAAAGATCTACCTCCGCTTCCAGAGTCTGCATCGGTGGACAAGATATCTGGCAATAGCTCCCCTGAAGGTAAGCAGGCCTACTTGAGCGGATCTGTCTCAGCGCCGGTGGACTTGGGCAAAGGTCCGAGCCATCCAGCTTCTGCGCTGCTGCGTACAAAGGTACCTACCACTGAGGCCGAGGTGCAGCAGTTGCTGCCGAAAGAAATGAATCCAATCACACGCAACGCAAGAAAGTCAATGATTGCCTCGCAGCATACCAGCAGACCTTGGAACCAAGACGAGAACTATCCATGGACCAGCAAAATCGAGATTGATCTCTCTGTCCCTTCGCCGGCACACACGCGCAACTCGCTCGCTAGTGAGGTGCTTCGGGAGCGTCGTACCAAATCCCTGGATCTTAACCAATCCACTGAGCCTACCGATACGACCAAAGACGTCGATATCGGATCGTTGATTGACACACGACTTGAGAGAAGTGCTTCAGTCACAACTGAGCAAGCTACGGGTATCACCCCACAACACGCCCGTAAGATATCCAAGCGTTCCATCATTGGCTCAATCACAAGGAAGTTCGGCCTTTCGACAAAGACCACCGCGGACGAGGATACAACCACCAAGAGTCTGCCAAGTCGGTCGCCTTTGCCAGCTCGCGCTTCGACACAGCAGTCGCACAAGCCCGGTGATCGTTATCCGACCTCCGCACTGACGCCGCCTGCTGGATTTAACCTGGACGAAGTGCGGTCTTTCTTCTCGGATAACAGCTCGGAGCGTGATCGTACGGCATCCTTCCGCAAGCGCCTCACGCACTTCAAGGGCAAAGGCAAGGCGGTTGCCCGCTCATCGGAGCCAGTCCGTGGCACTTCGCTCGACGATACCAATACTGCCTATGATGGCGCATCGCTTGTCGACGCTCGTGTGGGGGCAAATAGTCGCGCTCACACATACGATGGGGTCGGCATGAGCAAGACGGAGTTTCACATCAAGCGCTTCGGGGAGAAATTGCGGCATTTGTTCGCACGTGGCGGTGAGCTGATTCGATCGCTGAGTGCACGGGGTAAGGGCAAGACGCCCGAGCATGCCCAGGATGAGTGGTTGGCGGATTCGCTTTACTCTGGTGTGTGAGCGCCCCCGGTGGTGAGTTCATGCCGCGGTGGGCAGGTCCCGAATGTCGAGCTTGCTGACTGTGGTTGACGTTGACAGGAACGGTCGTTGTTCATGTTTGATTGAGACGGCCTTATGAAGGCATGGAAGGGTTTGCATGATGATAGGATTTGCAGGATGAGTATTGTTGGCGGGCGTAATCTTGGTGCTGGGTGCTGGGTGCCGGGGTATGTGGGGAGCTGATACAGCATGGATAGAATGGTAGGTATATGTCGCAGCAATGTAGCTCGTTGTATCTTGGGAAGACTTCGCTACTGCTATACGTCCATTGAAGTGATTTCGCTGCCACTGGGCTGTGCATCTGCAGAGCCGTTCGTTTTTGTTGTCACCTTGTCGTAAAATTGCGTGAAGTCGTATTCGATGCTCGACGTTTTCTGCATGAGATCGTCAGTACTGCGATTCAGTCGGGACCTTGCAGCAGTCTTTAGACATACCAACAAAAACTCCTTCAGCGTCTTCTTATCTTTCGTCACATCCTTCAAAGTGGCGAAGAACTTATCCGTATCTTTGACGGTCCACGGGTCCGTCTTTGAAACCCGGTCCAGATTCTTGATACTCCTCGCATCGATGTATTTAAGAAAGATCTCCCGGCGAATGTCAGCGTATTTCTGCAAGATGGATTCCGAAGCGAGATTCCGGTGGAGGCCGATGAAGCAGTCGGCCAAGGCACCCGTGTCGAGGACGGCCGTCATGCACCCATACCCACCCATGGGATTACAGACGTGCGCGGCATCAGCCGCGAGCAGGATGCGCCCGACTCTGAAAGAATCGACGCAGCGGTTGTGGATATTATACAGGTTTGTGTCTTCGATGCGATAGTCACCTGGTTCGGGGCTTCCGGGGAGCATGTTTTTGAGGTGCCACGGTCTGCGGGCGAGGTATTCTTCGTCGGAGAGGTTCGGGGCGGTGTCGCCGTATGTGACGCGCCAGAGGCCGCCGTGGCCGCGTCGGGCGATGAGGCCCCAGTGGTTTTTGTCTACCATGTAGTTCCCGCCGTCCCAGTTGTGGGCGTCGAAGCCTGGGTAGAAGACGTTCTGCACGATGAAGCGGCAGGGGAAGGTCTGGCCGGGCCAGGTCTTGCCGTAGAGACTTCTGCGGACGGCGGAGCGGGCGCCGTCACAGCCGATGATGTAGTCTGCTTCCATCTTCTTTGATGTCTTTTCTTCGTCCTCGTCCTCGCCGCCGCCGCCGCCGCCGCCGGTTTCCTCCACTTCGACCCAGGCTTTGTCGGCGTCTTGTCCCGTTCCGGTGACTTTATGGTTGAATTTCACCTCGATCAGTCCCTTGCTCACTTTCCCCTCAGGCCCGAATTTCTCCATTGCGTGTCGGTACATGATCTGCACGATGATGCCCAGCTGCAGGATCACCATGCGGTCTTCTTCGTCTTCGACCACACTCATATCGATTTCCAGCAATTTCTCCCCATCGGCAACGCGTCTCCAACAGATGGAAGGGAACTTCGGAATACTCGCAGCGCGGAAATCTTCGAGAAGCCCGTCGACTTTCTTGAAGATCCTCGTGGCGGGGACACCGTATTGTGTAGCTCGAAGACGGGTATCGAGTTGCGGCCATGCTTCGAGGACGGTGCTTGAGATGCCTTGTTGTGCCAGTAGAAGGGAAAGTAGAAGGCCTGAAGGGCCGGCTCCGACGATGAGCATCTGTTCGTCAGCGATGAGGTCAAGGTAATGTAGTGGCGAGGAATGCATACTCTCTCCCACGGCGGCTTGTGTGCTACAGGCATCTTGAAGATTTATTGTGGCTCAGCGAGAGCGCTCGACAAGTATCTGAATAGGTGTGAAAAGTGAAGATGGAGCATTGAGGGCGTAAGCGCGAAAGAATGTTGGTTAGGTTTGTGGAGCTCTCAGAAGAGGTAGGTGGGTGGTCAAGCGCCTCTGGAGTGAAGATCGTGTCCAAGTCTGGAAATCAGAGCGGTACATTTCCGTCTGTCTGCCTTAAGGTAAGAAATAAGTTGAGACCCTCCATACCTCCGCTCCTTCATCTTAGAGTCTGTGAACACGCTGAAACCGCGTATTTCTCGTATAGCACTCCACTTCTTCGTCTGTCGGCCACCCTTGCCAGCCCGAAATGCTCTCCACAGCCTCTCTCGCCGCATCAATCAACTCTGGTGAAGCGGGAGAACGAATTCGCAAAAGGATCCTGCCAGTCATGTCAAGCGGCGCAGCACCTTCTCCCTCTTCATCGTCTCCAGTGGGTTCGATGGCCGCTGCTGCCGTGTCATTTCCACCAATCCAGCCTCGCTCCAAAAACACGCGCAGTGCTACAATCGCCTTACGCATCAAATTTTGCCCCTGGCGATCCATGTTCTGTCGGTCGGTGAGCTCGACCTCATGGTCGCGCATCCAGTATACGGTGTCGAGCAGACCCTGATGATCCCCCAACCACCCTAACGCGCGGATGTAAGCGTGCAACAACGCTGGACCAGGTACAGTCAACAACGATGGCAGGCCAGGTGACGCGGAAAGCGTCTTCTGCTCCAGTTCATTTGCTTCCCTGACATCTCCGACCAGAACTCGGAATTTCTTCTTGAGACGATTTTCGATGCTGTGCTTGCGCAAAGAGGATGTGGCTTGTCGCTGCAGCATTGCGAAAGAACGAGTCTTATCGTTCAGACCCTCAGGAATCGGGCCCTCCATCTGCATCCGTTCGTGCTCTTGCAAGATTCTCCACCCAGCGACCGCCATATTCTCTACCGCGAGGCAATAATAGTGCAATCCGTGGTCGTCGATGTCAATGTGGTTCTCCTCAGCCAGAGAGAGTATTCTTATTACAATGCGGAATGCATACATCGCTCCAGCGCAGGATCGAGCTTCGGGATGTTTGAGGTTGAGCGTTCCCTCGGACCGCTCTGAATGTGTGGTGAGGGTAATTACTATGACATGTCGAAGAGACGCAAAGTTTGCTTCGTGAGTCAAGCTTCGAAGGATCGTGTTCCATAATGGGCAATGCGGGATGGGTCTACGACGCAGGAGCTCAACAGCTCGAGCCATTGGATTTCCCACGTTGAGTTTGAATTTAGAGTCTTGGAAGAATGATCCGCCGGTAAGGTCCACGACAGACTCTGTGATACCGCCTGGAGTATCTTTCGGCCACGGAACATTTGGAAAGCGCACTAGCAGTCCGATAAAGGCTACGAACACAGCCGTCGGAAGTCGAGAGAGATCAGTGTTAGGGCGCATACAGAGGAGGCCTTCGATCTCGGGGTAGTGTGATATGCTGTCGCGGAGACGCCACAGGCCCGACTGTAGAGTATTGGCGTTCTGAACCAGAAAGGCAAGACAATTCCCGTGAAAAACAACGCCGCGATTGCGTAGGTCACTGTAAAAGCCGTCTACGGAGGGAGGCGGAGTACGAGTGTAGGTATGCAGATGAGTCGATGGCGGAAGCGGTGAAAGCTCTCTCACATCACCAGGCTGTATCGACCAGGCTTGAACACCCTCGGCTGACTGGCCACTCTCTTCCCTCATGTACAGACCTCTCTCGTGCTGATACAGTTTCCGCAAAATAGCCAGGTAAACATCTTGATCAAGGGGATGTGGAGCATCTCCTACAGTGAGATACGCTGCCCAAGCTTCTTGGATTGTGCGTGTGGTTGCGATCCGAGCTACCCACGGATTGAAGCTGCCCCGAAGCCTGGACGACAACTGAGCACCGGGAGCGCCAAGTAGAGCTCGCGTCTGGATAGTTGGTGTCTTGTCCGTGTCCCAACCAGCATACAGCCCAGCGGATATCTCCCATGGTAGGGGCCGATAGCCCGCGCCTCGCATTCCAGCGAGGGTAGCAGCAGCTTTGGAAGTGCCATGGTCTTCTGGTTCTACCACCGCATCCATAGCATTGCGATCGTGCTTCCAAGGAGGCCACGACAGGGCCTTCAGTTCCGCCCATTGTCTCTCTTTTCCTGTCTTTTTCTGCGCTAATTGCAATCTGATAACTGCACGATATCCTTGCCTGTTGATCTGCAGCGCTGGATGATGCTCGGCCATATACCGGAGAATGCGCACGAGAGCTGCCTCCTGATGTGGATTGTCTTTGAAAGGTCGAACGGCCGTCTGCAAGGAGATCAGGCCCATGATGTTATTCAAAGCAAGACTAAGGTTCTTCAACTTGTCGCTCTCGAGAGGCTGGCGGCTCTGCTCCTGATATCGAAAATGATTTAGCACCATCTCCACAACGCCGACCAGACACTGCGGCCAGACGACACGCGCATGACGAATTAGGCGTGTGGCAAGGATCAGGATCGGCTCATTGTCAATACCGGGGTCACGAAGTCGCTGGAGTCGCCCAGCCAAAAGCTTGGTAGAAGACCACAGCAGAAGACGCAGGGCACGTGCGCTTATGTACCGGCGGCGGAGCAGGTAGAGTAGTACGAAGATCGGGACTGAAATGGACGTCTCTGCATCCATGCGGGCGGCCAGCGATAGAGCTGCGTCCAGAATGTTTCTGTGTGAAAGGATGTCTGCCCAGGCTGCGAGATCTTCTATTGAGACGCGTTTGTATTCCAGGTATTGCAATTCCTCGTCCGAGAGCTGGAACGGCATGTTCCACTCAGCTTCCAGGAAGTCCGCTGCTCTCGCTGTATGCCGAATATAACTAGCAAGGATGCGTTGGAGAGAAAGCTCACGAGAATGCGCTGGATCGGGGAGAGCATCATCTTTGTGCCTTCGTTGCCGCTCTTTGAACTCTTGCCAAGCATTACGACTCCGAACGTTTACGTAGTTTAGATTGCGTTTCCCGGGAGGAGCGTACGGTGTAACCATATCGTCCTTGGTGGCCTTAAGAGCATGTGTGAGATGATCCATACGTCCTCGACGCTTCAGCCGTCTCCAACCGTGGATTCGAAAGCGTCGACCATCTTGAATTTCTCCCTTGTCCAGTGTCTTGCCTTGCATATGCTGCTTCTCTACCAAATGCGCATACTCGCTCGCGTCAGGCTCTTCATCTTCCAAAGCTGGCGCTACGGCCGTCTGTCGTGTGAAAGGACTGGTATGTAGCTGACGCGCAGCATCGCGTCGCCATGCTGCGTCAATTGGCAGGCAGCTGGCTGGGCGGATTGGTATTTCGAAGGTGTCGAGGTGGTTCGGCGTGGAGGAATGGCGGATGCTGGCAAGGACAGAGCGGAGCTGTCTGCCAAGCGGTGTCAAGCGCCCATGTGGCATCCATCCACGCACTGCCAGCAGCTGCAATTGTTGTGTCGATGGTTCCCGACGAATTGCTGACCACGTGTCTGTGACAGGAGGATGTGAACTGATCGCGTGTGGAAGGGCAGGTGAAGTCGAACGCGCAGCTTAGAGTTTCGAGGCCCCGGAGAATTGCCGGACGCCGGATTTTGTGCAAGGAGACGTTCACAACACGAAACCTGCCATGTTGCTCTTGCCGAGAGATGCACAAGCGATACTGATCTACTGTCAATACAGTTCAATTCAATTAAGTTCAGCACACACGAGAACCATCCACCGCGTCGAATTTCTGGACAGAGGAATTCGTTCGGTGCCGATTCTGAGGCCTGAGGCAGCCAACGCGTCCGCGGGAGCTCCCTCGCCAATCATACCTTAGGATCGCCGGCGCATCTCGAGATTCAACCTCCATAGCATCCGCCAAATCACCTCCGCATTAGCCTCACAGTGACCATTGCAGAGTCACGACGACGACATCTCTGACTTCCTACTGCGCGGCTGCGTAGGGCACACTCATCGCGCAGGCGCTGATTGCGGGCGAGGGCAGCATTCCTACGCCCAGCGCCTTCTACACGCCAACAAGCGCGTCCGCCCTGGGGCGCCATCACCTCGAGCTGCGCGCGATCGCAGATCCAATATATAAATACCGATCACGACGCGCGCAAATCGCCCAGCATGGCCGCCGCTGCTACCACTGCCAGCGCGGTCAATGGCCACCTCACCCCGCCTGTCCGCTCCGATGCCGACGCCGATGGACCTAGCAAAATCGAGACCGACTTCAGCGCAAACAAGCGAAAGCGTGAAGATGACTTGTCCGAGGCTAGCACCGCTGCTGCGAATGCTCGAGACGGCCAGGTTCAGCGTGACATATTGCACGTCTTGAGGAGGTAAGCATGCGACTGCCAGACATACAGGTGCCGTACCTCTAACACTATCTATACAGCCACGACCCGGACTCATCCTTCCTCAACCACCGCTTCATCGACAGTCTCTCCCACCAAAATTGTCCGAAAAAACCACGATTGTCCGATCCGAGCAATCAGACCTTCACGATATCTACAAAGTTGGACCATGGCTCATATACTTCTCTCCGCCAGCTGAAGGCAGATGCAGACACAGTGGGCGAAGAGCTGGTCACCGAAATCAGATCAAAAGCCAAGGACAGGGAGAGTACGGGCAATCGTACCACGGTCGGAGAATTGAAGCAGATCCAGCGCATACAGATGATCCAGCGTCTAGTCAGGGAAATCGTGGATAGAGAATCTCAGTATGACGACGCCCAAACCAAGGACGTTGGGCCTAAGGACGCCGAGCCCAAGGAGGAGAGCAGTACACCTGCCGTAGGTCATGAGACCGCAGATGCTACCGCCAAAGCTGGTACCGTGCTCACACTATTTGGAAATGCACCCACGCCCAAGCAGCTCTTTTCCTCATCGCAGATGCCACCCAAGGCAGAAGGGCAAGGACTCATCAAATCCGAGCTGCTTGTGGAAGAAATGACCCTACCGAACGGGATCTCTGCTACGAAACTTATGCCTGTGCCCTCTGACCATTCCACGAAACTGCCGCTGCTGGAGGACGTCTTCCCTCCGCCCTACAATCTGCCGGCCTTGAACCCTCCCAGGACTCATAAGCGGTCGTCCACCCGCGACAACAAGGTCACGTGGGAGTTCAAGGACTCCACTGTGCGGAATAAGAAGGGAGGCTACACTGTTCAGCCGCAGAACGCGGGCTCCTGGCTAGGATACGGTGGCGTCGATGATAGTGATTCCAACTCGACGCGGGAGAAACGCAAAGAACGTACCCGTGCTCTGAGCACCAGTGCGGACACAGTCGAGCGTCCTAGCAAAGCTCTCTCTGAGGAAGCCCAGGCCAGAGAAGAAGAAGCTCTCTTCCGAAGAGCTTACTCGAGCTTTGCACCAACGTATGACGACTCGAACGCCCCCATTTCCACGGAGACGAAGAATCTCGTCTGGTGGCACAAGGTCGGGAATAAGCGATTCAATAGCGTGTTGGCGATTGACCCAGCGCTCATGGACGAGACCGAGCGGAGCAGCATACCGCCCCCTCAAGAACAGGCCTCAGCACAGGATGAAGACTTCTCACGAGTCGTGAAAGACCTTGACGAGCTCGACGGTCTCGAGCCAGACCCTGAACCCGTCAAGTCAAAGACTGCTGTGGATCATGTGTTGCGTGAAGTATCCGAGCTTCTCGAGACGCTTGCGTCTCATCAGCGAATCCGAAATGCCACTCTAGCGTCTGCGTCTGCCGCTTCTAGAACACCCATCAGCCCATCACCAGCTGTCTCCTCCAAAGTCAACAAACCTGATGAACCGTCAGAAGATGAATACTCGACCTACCGCAGTCTTCAACGAGAATTGGCCTATCTCATCTTGAAGTTACCGCCGTATGCTGTTGCCAAGCTGGACGGAGACCAGCTTGCAGAACTAGGCGTAAGCAAGCTTCTCAAAATCCAACCTAGGGATATCAAGGGCACTATGGAGGAAGATCATGTTGCCCGACAGGCCAGACTATCAGCAACGGCAACTACAAACAGCATTACCACGCTTGCTCGTTCCAACTCCTCCGCTGGGCAGCATTATAACACCACTGCTCAGCGCACTCCCGCGATCGGACAAGCGGCGAATACGAGATATGGCCAGCAGTACGGTTCACGCGCGCCTGCGACAGCACCTGCGTTTCAGCGACAGGCAAGCAACCCTCAGCATTACGGCACACCAACCGCCGCGGGTCCGAGGCCAGGCTACCCTCAACCCAATCAGTGGCCTCGACCAGGCGCACAGCCTGCCTACGGTCAACCGAATGGACATCAGTATTACCAGCGTCCACAGCAAACGCCGACGGGCTATGGCCACTACGGCCAGCAGTATCAACAAACGCCCCAGGCTCAGCAGCGATACAACCCACAGGCGTACGCTCAAAATCGCCCCGCCGCCAACGCGGTAGCTTATCAAACCAATAGCGCGGTACAACAGCAGGGCTTCACTCGCACTGTGTCACCTGTAAAGGCGGCCGGCTATCCCGCAGTTTCAATGGCGCCAGCGCAGACCCCGCGGCCGATCTATCCCACCGGTCAGCCTAGCTCAGGACGAGCCACGCCCACCGGTTACCCATCTCAGCCACACACTCCCGTCAACGGTTTTGGGCCTCGCCAACCCCCTGGCATTGCGCCTAGACCCGCGAGCTCGACGCCGCAGCCTCCGCCGCAGCCGATCCAGTCCAACGGAAATACGTGATTCCAATCATTCTGGGTTTCTTGGTCCCTGGAGCCCAAAATACGCCCGTCATCGACACAGCTTTTCTTTCAGTGCAAAATAGCAAGAGAGCCATGCCACAAAGCGCACGTTTTCAAGATGCGCCTGGATAAGCATCTTCAAACATGCGTTAGCAAATCGTAGAGGGCGCAGGAGCTCTAGCACGGCAAGGTGCTACCTTCGAGCAGTCGGGTCGATCGGTCTGCCATTGTTCATGCTACTCAGGTATCATCAGGGCTGGAGTCGCGAGTACAATGGAGTCGCAAGTTCATGAGCATCTGGGTCGGTCGGTATCAGAACCGCGGAGTGTAATGCAGGATTGTCGGAAGTGGGCGGCTGCTCAGGTAGGATCGAATCCCTTACTCGCAAGATTGGGATACCATCAATGGAAGTTTTCCGAACATGTACCATTCCCCACGACGCCAGCTTTTAAACGTACGGGAGAGAGTTTCAGATCCGAGCAGTGGTCTTTCCGTGCATGCCGAGCCAAGATGAGACTTATGGGTGGAAATTTGCTTGAATGGTGATCATGTGTGAGGATAATTGTGCATTGTCCCTTTTGTCCCGATTCTAACTTGGAAGTATACGTTTGAGGGGGCCGTCCATGTAACTGCGCAACGCCGCCGCAAATGTACTGTATTCCGGGGACAGATATTCGGCTTGCTGAGCCATTCCGGATCCCACAGGGAAAATGTTCCATTCCGAATACGGTACTGTCAGGGCTTTATCTGAGCGTGGGCTATCGTCACAACTGATTGTAGATGAGTCGGCAAACAAGGAACCTCATCCCTCTTCCGCGTTTCGACGATGATGTCCACGGCACATGTTGCACAAGGTCTCGGAGGACGGCATGAGTGTTGCAGACGTCTAAGCCGGACGGAGCCACGCATCCATCTGAACGGACAATGGAACAGTCGATAGGCACCGATGCCATTGTGGGTGACATACGAGGTTCTCAGACCTGAGAACGCGAAGATGATCAGTACTCCTTCATCCTATCCTTCATTCCAGCTGCCGTATTGGGCCTTTATGTCCATTCTGGTGGTTGCTAGTCTGACTACAGCTTCTGAAGTCCTATCAAGCCAGTCTCTCTCAGCCAACATTGATGATTTTCGAGGTGGTATGTCTTCCCTAGCTTCATGCGTTCGAAGACGAAATCTACTCCCGATGCTTGCACCTTTGATCGCGGCAACGGCGATACAAGAAGCGATGAGTATTGCGGTTTCTTGGGAAGGAATCTGACGGTCTATACTTCGAACGCGACTACGCCTGCTCCTATCCTCTGGGATGAGAATGGAGGAATCGTAGCTGGAGCTCGATGTGCCAGTTGAGATGGAAATGCCGTCGAGACTCGCAGCACCTACGTCGCCGCTTCTCGACCCGGAAATCTCTGAGATCTTATCAATTGGATCGCCGCCTCCAGACTTAATATACAACGATCTCACATACATGATCGCCAACCATGACTCCAGCAGCCTGCTCATTCCTGGCTCCAAGACCATCTTTGACCTCAAACGTTCTCCCGATGAACCGATGTCGTTGAAGTGGAAGGATTTTCTGGGACAAACAAATTTCAGGTTCGAACGATTAGGCCGAATAATGATTCTTGATTACTACGATAGGTAGCGCGATAAAGCTTTGTGACAGGGAATAATAGGAGAGAATCTATAAGACTGGCATCACCTCATGGCGGATATAACCTTGCATGCTTCGAAATCTGGTGTTTTCGAATCGTTATAGTAAGTTCATGTTTTGGGAGCCGAAGGGCGTGTACCCATGGAATGATGGAAATTACTTCTTATCTTTAGCATCTTCAGCATTAAGTGCGGCGATTCGGACAAATATTTGATGGATTTCTGGCACGTACTTATTCCCAGGACCATCTGGCACCATCTTGTTTGCAGTAATCGCGACTTGACACAATTCGTCTCGCTCTTCGACAACCTTGAAGCCGCTCAGAAAGAAGCGCAGCGCCGCCGACGTTCCCGGCGGCAGAATCCGGGATCCAGGCTCTGTTCGCATTGATTGTGTTCATTGGACACCAAGTTCGCGATGCTGGTTGTTCTCGAGGCATGAGATGCTAGAGATGCTGCGGGTCTTCAATTCTCCTCTGATATTCGAGATCATGAACCTCTCCCACCCGAAAGAATGGTTCGTTTGGGAATACATCCCAGATTCTTGCGTGGTTTGCATTCTGTGAGGGGCAGCTCATCTGCTGTGAACGGACATGATGTTTTCTTGCGTTAAATCTGCACTGGATCCCTTGAAGTCAACTAGCCTTGAGAGTTGGTGGTTTTGAGTGTGAAGCCTTAGAGTGTACTGGTAGCAGCCATTATGAGAAGAATTTCTTGAGCGCGGTAGTCACCCTCATCTTATGGTAATGAGCCATACCCTTTGCTGGCAAGGCATGGTCAACCTACCTGCAGCTTAATGCTAGCGCAAAGTCCACCACCTGCGAGCTCATGGATGCAATTATGAATAAGATCATGGCTTGTAGGTCTTGCGTTAGATGACGTGTCGTCCCGTTTACTGGTGAGATAGTCGTGAGTGCTGTGGCGCAGATAGTCGTCTGAACAGCCCAGCAAGCTCCAGTTACAGATTCATATGACGTGGATACAACCACTTCTTAAGATGGAGTAGATTGATTGACTCCGGGATGCTCGGATTCTGCATTCCTGGGGTGGCTAGAGAATAGTGCAGCTTGCCAAAAGCCATCAGAAATTTGTATCTTGACCACCTGTTGTGTATTAGAGATCCTCGTCCAAAGCCACTGAGGTCACCCGGACACTTACTTCTACATGGCCACATTGATGGTTTTGGCGAGGCAATCCTGGATCCAATCTTACAGCCGTATAGATAGTGATGTATATAGATTGAGTCAAAGGACTGAAGGTCAAGAAGAATCGATCTGTCGGTACCTGCCCCCGATCCAGCGCTCCGACGGCTCATGGAAGTTGGCACCGCATTGTCCTGGAAATGCATCCACTACGACAGAGGCTTGTCTGGCTCTCAAGGTCATGGGCTTGAACTCTCAACATTCTCTCGCCATGCGGAAAGCACAATCATGGATGGCGAATTCTCCCGAAGGCGGCGTTGAGGAAGTCAAGGTATTCACTCGAGTGTACCTTGCGATGTTCGGATTGCGTCCTTGGTCAGCGGTCCCCCAGCTTCCGCCTGAGCTGATTCTGCTACCGCCAAGCTCGCCGCTCAACGTCTACAAGCCGGCCTCATGAGTAAGAAGCACGTTGGTGCCAATGCTTGCGGTACGTTATCACAGGCTAACTTTTGCCTCGCCGAACGGTCGATCGCCCCAGAACAATTTCATCGACGAAATTTGAAAGGCCTCGGAGAAAAAGGATGTGCAGTATGATGATAGTATGCTGTCTTTACTTCTCAGAGGTGATATCATTGGATGTGTGTTTGATCTGATAGACACGACTCTTGCATACATGGGCGAACTGCGATAGTATAATCCTATCCGTAGATGGGCGATTGAGCAGTGCATGGAATGGATCAATGTCCACCAAAAAGACGACCGGAGACTGAGCTGGAATTATGCCGACCATGCTAGTAGGGATCCTGGCTTACAGTCTTGAAGGTCCTCCGCTTGATAGCGCACCTGTTCGTACAGCTTTGCAGGCCATTAAAAGATTTGCATGGCCCGATGAGCAAGCAAAGCGGATGCAAGCCTGGGTTGCTCCGGTCTGGGACACGGTTCTTATGTGCATCGCTCTTGAAGATACTGGAGTAGAAGACTTGGAGATAGACCAAAGGTCTTGTCCCAGACATTTGCGAGGGCGAGGCTTAGCTTGGCTAAAAGAGCGATAGCTGCTCTGCCATCAGGGTGACTGGTGTATGTATTGGCCCAAACTGGCTCCAGGGTCGTTCAGCTTTGAGTCTTACAACACGTGGTATCCGGACGTGGACGATACTGCAGCTGCGATCATCGCCTTTTTGAAGGATGATAAGTCCGCGGTGACCTCCAGCCATTTCATTGACGCCGCGAAGTGGGTACTCGGCATGCAGTGCAATGATGGAGGCTGGGCAGCCTTTGACGCAGACAACGATAGGCCGTATCTCAACAGAAATCTCTTCTCGGACATGGATAGCTTGTGCGATCCTTCAACAGCGGACATTGTCGGTCAAGATCTCCAGACGTGGAGTCTTTTTCTGATGGCTGCGCAGGACACCGGCTGTGCAGTGGAGATGAGATCTCTTATGAAGGAAATCCAAGTCGCCTACAGACGCGGTATCGACTTCGTCGTGCAAAGGCAAGAGCCCAACGGCGCTTGGTATGGTAGATGAGGTGTCAATTATATTTACGGCACGAGCAACGTCCTTGCTGGTCTCGCCCACCATTGTTTTCCCGACGAAAACAATTTGGAGGTTGTCGAAGATGGCAAGGCGATTATGAATGGATTTTCGGTGGCCCGTGATCTGTCCAGCGGTGCGCTTTCTGGCGTCAATTCATAATTCTGATGGCAGATGGGGTGAAGCCGTCCCCGCGTATCGACTCTCTCCAGTCACCATCGAGAATCTGGCCGGAGTGAGAAGGCTGTGCTCAGCACCTTGAACGCCTTCGCAGACAGCGTGGGCCATCATAAGGCTGATGCCGTATTTGTCCACCGACCAATCTCTCTAGCATCCAAGCCGGAATCCCTTATCTTATTCAGCATCAAGATAGCGCCGATATGACCTCAGCAACACCATCAGTTGCTTCTCTCCAGGCCAGCAATCGGGCGAAAATGCAAGCAGATCCGGATTTGCCAGAGGATCCAGGAGCGTAGTCGGGAGAGGCTGCTTCGACCTGGCGGGCAGATCGATACACAGGAACCGGGTTCCCAAATTCTTCCCCCTTGGACTACACCTTGTACAGCCATTACTTCCCTATGATGGCGATTGGCGCATTTCTTAAGGGCGAGTCCGCAGGAGGAAGCTGGCATCAAATTCACGGTGCAATTCGACTGAGCGTCTGTCTTTGAATTCTCGACTGCTTGAATACAGTCATTCCAGGTGGATTACCGCATAGTAAGAATGCATAGATGTGGAAGCCCAGATAATCGAGATACGTGAGGTAAATTCAGTTCAGGAGGAGGAGATTGGTATTTACCCCTGATTAGTCATCTCGGCTGCCGAGCTGCCAATTAAGCACACCCACCCGGGATATACAGCAACATTCTCTCACTCCATAGTTTCGTCCTCCCAAAATACCAGACACCGCACCTCAACGCTCCGTCGCGGTGGTACGTTTGGATCTTGATCAAGAAACTCGAATGCGCTATGTGCACATCTACGAGCTCGCCCGTCCAGTTTTGTGTCGTAGATTTTCAACAATAAAGCTTCATCGGGTTGCATATCTTTGGCGTAATACCACTTGTGCGTTGGTCGGTATGCGATCTGATACAGCTCCCCTTTTGGTTTTGGTGCAGAAGAGTCGCTGCTTGCTCCTGAACTGACGGGCTTGATGTCGCCCTGTACAATGTTCGTGGGGCGTAAGTCTTCTTCCGGGAGACTTCGGGCATCGCATACTGCTAGCGGTTCTCGAAGGACTGGATCTAATGGACGCCATACGTTGATAATCCCCCAACGGACCTTGCTAAGCCGGTCTAAATCCGACTCTGGAGTAAAAATTTTCATGAGAGCAGCGGCGCCTTTGTCAGTTTGATCTTTAAGGTACTATTAGCACGACCGGCAGTCTGTTGTGAGGGATTGGGACAACTGACCTACGTGGCTCCAGAAGGCTGGTCCAGCTTTCGTCCCTCTTTCATGATACGGCAGCGTTTTGGCTTCGTTCTCCGTGCTCTCCTTTGTGTCCTTGCGTACAACGTGATTGAATGGTATCACTATCGTTGCAGAAGTAGTTCGTTTGACGAGATCAATCGTTGCGGTGAAGTCTTTCTTTTCCATTTTGTCCAGTTCCACGGCCGGCAATGATGAGACAAGTTGAAAGGCGGCAGTATCGAAAGTCAGCTCTGGCGTCTGACGCATGTCACGGATTTCGACCTTGTGACTCTCATGTGGCCTTATCCAGTCGCCAGCCACGCCAGGGCTGACAGAATCGGTTCCTCCATCTTTGGGACTCAACCAGTAATTGATGTAACTCGATATCACCTCTGCCTCTGCAGCTGAATTGGTTCCTGCGGAACCCATTTTCCAGGACTGATTGCTCGCTGATCGAAGAATCGCTAAATACAGTGGATTACACGTCCTTGCTGCGCAACTTTTTTAAAACGTACATCATGAACTGGAAGGAATACGTCCGGAGATTGACTCGGCTTTCGGAAGGTAACGTAGCCGCAAATGAGTGTAAGCAATCGGTCGCCGGTAGTTGCCTACGGCCGTGGTAGTGACGCATTCCTATACCGGATAAGCACTACTGAAAGCATCGGGTTCGTAACCGGAACAGATCCAAGTCAAGAGACTCCGCCGCTTCACAAACCCTATCGGCAGCTCCCTAGGATACCACAGCTCTTCAGCATAATAACTATAGGCAAAGTTAATGGAGTTGTTGTTATCCACGTCCACGGCATTAATACTACGTATCCACGTGTATCTTGCTATACATTGCTATGTATTACAGCCTGCGCTATAGCTAGATCCTCCTACGATATTCGCCGATTGTTCCGTTGTACAGTTGCATAACTTGTCAATTAAATTGATAGCAGTCGTGTGCTTGGCCACCGAAAGAGTGATGTCAGGTTTGACCAAGCTTCTCGACACATGTCTCGGTCGGTTTCACATTTCTTTAGACCAACAGCCAGAGCCTTTTCCACTCATGAAACAGTCGGATCATTCAGATCAATCTCTTCTTTCCTCCGACGAATGCGGACTCGATTTCCTGGGTGCAACATTATGGCGTTCTCGAATTCAATAAGGGGTAATCGAGCGCCACCATCTCCATACTCAAAATCGTACATCAGAGTCAGAAAGCAGAGTAACACTTTCACCACGTTCGATGCAAAGAATCGCCCTGAGTGAGATGTCAATATTTCGAGTCACATAAGATTGAGGTAGATCCGACTTTACCTGCGCATGCATGGTCACCATAGCCAAAGCCTAGATTGTCTGAAGTAACAGTGGCAAATTGATGATTGCTCTCTTCACCAGGTCGACTTCGAAGCTTTAGGAAACGGTATGCGTCGAATTTCTCAGGGTCCGAGTATTTTTCGGGATCGCGCAGTCGGTCGTTCATCGTCATCACAAACGCGCCTGCAGGAATTGTAGTACCGTCAGACAGTAAGATGTTCTCAGTCGCAACGCGAGCCATTGTAGCTTTCTATGATCAGCTTTATGATTTTGCATATGTCTTAGATCAACTTACTATTCCACATTGAATAGAACCTAAAATTTTCTTTGATGAAAGAATCGAGCAGTTTCATTTTAGACAATGATGAGTTTGCCCAGCCGTGCTTGCGGAGAACTTGAATCATTTCCTCCCTTAGAGCGGGGACGATGTCTGGAGTGTCGCACATCTGCAGGATGCAGCGGACCATTACTTCTGAAGTGGTGTTGATAGCCACCACGCCAAGCTGAAGTTGTGCTCCTGGAAAGTCCAGCGGTCGGCCCTTGGCCAGGTCTAGCATCCAGTGGAAGCAATCTATGTCTTTGTTTAGATTACCTTCAGCATCCCACGATTTTTTGCCCCTTTTCGCGAGACGATCCTCCAACTGGCGTTCGACTAATTTGCGTGATTCCTGTAGCCTTTCTCGCATCATTGAGCAAGAGGGGAGTATCCAGTTCATGAGGGGGCGGATCAGCGCTGGAAATCTACGCAGCGCATGGGCATTGCGAAATAGCAAAGTGGTGTATTCTTTTGACACCCGTCGCCAGTTCTCGTCGCGGGCAAGTTCCTTTCCCGCGAAGACCCGAGTGGAAACCCATGCTACGACGTCCAGGATGGTGTTTTTGATCACGACGGTCTGCCACTCATCAATGCCGCCTAGAAGCTTCTGCAAGGCTAGAGGCGTCTCGTCGACAACAATGTCCGTGACAAGAGCAAGATTCTGAGTCAACTTGACCCTGACCACATCGAACATAAGTCCATCCGCTCTGAAGCCTTCTTTGACACCTTCGAAACCTGGAAGGTCGATGTGAAAATCTCTCCGCCCAATCTCAGTGAAACTCAGACTGTTGAGACTTCCGGTTTCGCGAGCAAAGCGATTCGGCAGAATGATCTTGTATCCAGCACCAGCTTGAACTTGGAAACAGCCGGAAGTCAGCTGCTTTCCCTTTTCTAATAGTCGGGAGCCATATATGGAATACTGTGCTTGTTTAACTGTCCAGAAGTTGTACCAGGGACGGTTTTCCAGAGAAGCGATTGGAATTCCAGGATAGGGTCGGTGCTTGCTTGCGGACACGTAGATGATCAGGCCAACGATTAACACAACTACAGCTGTGTAGGTGGTTTTCAGCGGGTCCAAGGTCGTGATTGAAGCCATGAGATGCAAGATTTCCACATACCACACAGGACTCAATCCGGCGGCATGTGACTTTGTTTAATATTGTTACGACCACTGAGCAGTGTAGATACTTGTACAACCGCACGGAGTTAAGAACCTGCCCAATGCTACATCCCTGCACAGTACCGAGACACATGGATCATGACGATCACACCATACTACCCGGTTCACCAGTATGAGTAAGATACAGTAAGAGGGGAATGCCGGGGGGATGCCGGCGTCAGCCCTTGTGCAACCGCCGGACATTTTCAACAGAGGGCAACGGACCCTAGCGGAACCTAGAATCTACTAAACGAGGCCTTATGTCCGGCGTTATACTCGCGCCTTTGACGGAGTATACACATTTCGGAAGCCGACAGCAGACGTGACCGAGCTCCCGCATGTCCAAGAGCCTTGATTTTTCCGAGGGCTAGAAACTGTATCCGGGTGGAGCCGCCCATGGACTACCGCTTGGGCTGAGGCGGCACGCGTGTCGGTCGGTCAATGGCGTCGTCCGACCATGCGATGCGAATGGCTTTCTTGAGCTGAAGCAGATGATCTTTCCGGATCTCTCTATCAAGCCAGGAATCTGATCATCGGCGAACGACACCTGAAATGGCAAACAGCGACGATACCAAGAAAAGCTCGCAGCAAACGCTACGGAGCCTGTCCGACGAGATTTCTTCTTTGACTGATGTCTTTTCCGGCTTCCTGGAGTCGAATGGCCACCCTGAGCGTTCGCTGAAGTCGACCGATTCTGTGCGGTATTCAGACGCGCCAGAAGATGTGGAATCTGCACGCCGTAGGCTAGTGACCAAACTCCAAGAGATGACGCTACTTGCAATGTCGCCGTTTGAAGCAGTCAGAGATATGCTTCTTGAAGTATGTGAATTCTGGTCATGACTTGCGATGTCGTCTAACGTATAGTCAGGTCTCTTCGCTGCCAGCACTGCACGTCATCTCTCATTTCGAGATAATCGACCACGTGCCGCTTGATCGCGAGATCTCATACGCGGAACTTGCCCAGAAGATCAATGTGCCTCAACGACGTCTCACGCGAATGCTTCGTTCGGCGATTTCGAGATCGATCTTCCAGGAGCCAAAGCCCGGATACATTGCTCACAATTCTCTATCTGCCGCGATGATCCATTCGAAATGGCTTCGATACCATGTAGCGAGTACACTGGAGAACTTTTTACCCACAGCACCCAAATTCGTAGAACAGATCGAGAAGTTTGGTGACAGAGAAACCAGATCTACCTCTGCAGCGGGAATCGCTTACAATACGGAGACAGACTGCATCCAGTACTTGCTATCCCAGCCGAAGCACCAGCAGATACTCATGAATGTAATGAAAAACTCTGGCGAGATCTCAGGGTTGGATCCAGAGAGCCTGGTTGAACATTACGACTGGCCAAAGGCGTCTGATCAAATCATTGTTGATGTAAGTGCGCTTTTCTTGGCTGATAGCATCAATACTGATTACACGACCAGGTTGGTGGTGCATCTGGCTCTGTTTCCAGAGCGATTGCCAGTTCAGTTCCGAGCGTGCGATTCATTGTTCAAGATCGCGCCAATGCGGTGCGCCAAGGTGAACTGGAGACTCCCCCTGAGCTCAAGGACAGATTTACCTTCCAAGAACATGACTTCTTCCAAGTGCAACCTGTGAAGAACGCCGATGTGTATCTTTTGCGTTGGATCCTGCACGACTGGCCAGATGAAGACGCAATTACTATTCTTCGCCAAGTTGCACTGGCGATGGGGCCGAAGTCGAAGATGCTAATCGCTGAACGGCTCGTGCTGTTGCCGGGAGAAGGCGATCCATGGGATCAGAAGATCGCAACAAGCATGGATATGTTCATGATGGCGTTCAACGGAAGTGAGAGGACGCTGGAGCATTTCCAGTCGTTGGTTGAACAGACCGGGGAGGCTCTAGAGATCTGTCGCGTCATCCAAAGACCTAATGGGGCGCTATATTCGCTGATTGAGGTTGCTCGAAAGGAATAAGACGGGTAGGTCTGATGGCCGGTCTTGTTCTCAGGCACTTTTCGGCAGAGTCTGGAAATTTATGCAAAGTAGAGAGGATCTTTCGGTAAGCTAAGATTTCTCTAAGTTAAACCCTCGATTTTGGGTAGAATATACTCCACACTACGAATACTGCGATTTAGGAGCAGTAGGGGTAGGAGACCCAATATCCTCGTTCAAATAGGGTACTTTGTTTATGGATTCGAACGGTAGAAGGGAACGAAGATGGTATACCAAGCTCAGTACATACGCGTACAAATCGCATCTATGCAGAGGTTATGCATTCGTCGAATATTATCCGCCCACGTGGGCTTATATGGCACCCCTGTCTAACTTAATTACTTTTCCGAGTTAGCGTCTTCGCCATTGAGTAGCGACCGCAGGTCCCGACTGCCGATGCAGCGTTCCCAAAATACATTGATCAATCAATGACCTGTTAGCATAACGACCGAATTCGCCGCTTCACTGTTTGTACCAGTATCCACGCGTCTCGGACCCGGCGACTCCGTTCGATCGGATGAATGTTACTGCCGAGTGTTGAGCAGCATTACGAGCTCTTGGGCATTCGAGATGTCTCAGCGTCGGAAGTTATGTGAAAGCGATGCACGAGCTGACCCACGAGCAGTGACTACGTAGCTAATCCTCGAGATCTAGTGACTTTGTACGGAGTCTTGCTGGAATCACGCTCCAGGATACCAATCGTCCTCACTTCTTATCGCGTTTCGGCTTTTCACTCCGGAACACCATACCTCCAATTATGAATTCTGCGGCCAGCCCAGAACATTCTGACTCGCGGGACGACTCACACAGCCGGTCGACAGAGGGCGACAAATGGACGTCTTCATCGTGGGACAGAAGCGATGAGTGGGAAAAAGGCACGCAGGACGTAGTCTCTAACGACGCTCACACGGAAGCATTGAGCGACCCGCCGAGTCAACCCGGCAACAAACGCGAGATCTGGATCATGACAACAGTCCTGCTGGCTGTATTCCTCAATGCCTTAGACCGCACCATCATCTACACAGCCGTGCCACGGATCTCAGACGAGTTCCACGCATTGGGAGACATTGGATGGTACAACGCCTCGTTCATGCTCGCCGCTGCATGCTCTCAGTTGATCTTTGGGCGGATCTACACCTACAACCCTCCCAAGTTCGTCTTCATCACGCTCGTGGGGTTGTTTGAGGCCGGGAATCTGGTCTGTGGCGCTGCTCCGACAAGTGCTTCGTTTATTGTTGGCAGAGCCATCGCTGGTATGGGATCGGCTGGTCTGATGTGTGGGGCTATCGTGGTCATGGTCAGCACGGTGTCTCTCAGCAAGCGTCCGCTATATCAGGGCTTCTTTGGAGCTGTGTTTACTCTGGCGTCCATTATCGGACCAGTGATCGGAGGAGCTCTGACGACTAATGTGAGCTGGAGATGGTCAGTAAACAGCTAGTGAGCCTCGAAAGCACTCGCCAGCGTTCTAATATGGATCGACAGGTGCTTCTACCTCAACGTGCCGATCGGATGTGCCGTCATGCTCGTCATCTTTTTCGTCCTGGACCCAATTCCACCGGTACAGCCCGGTCTTTCCATCCGTGAGCAGATAACCAGAATGGATCCAGTGGGAGAAGTATTCCTCGTGGCATCCGTTGCTTGCCTCATTCTGGGCCTCGCATGGGGAGGCAATGACTACGCGTGGAAAGATTGGCGAATCATCACCTTGTTCGCCGTGGCGGGCGTCTCTCTCATTGCGTTTGGCGTCGTTCAGTACTGTTGGCCCGATACGGCGACGATCCCGGCCGCGACCTGCTCCGTTCGCGGTGTCACCATGGGGCTAATCTTGACATTCTTTCTCAACGGAACCCTTCAGCTCATGACCTACTACCAGCCGACATGGTTCCAGGCTGTGCGCGGCGTGAGCCCCGAAAAATCTGGAGTCTACAGCTTGGCGATCGGCATTCCTACAATGTCGTCGACCCTGTTTGCTGGTATTGCCGTCCAGCGGGTGGGCTACTACACCCCCTTCGCGATCATCTCATCCGTCATCACCCCAATTGGTGCCGGGCTCTTCGTCACGCTGCGAGAAAACACAAGCGATGCAAAGTGGATAGGATACAGTATTTTGCTTGGCTGTGGTATGGGCATTGGCATGAACCAGGCCGCGACGGCTTGCCAGACCATCCTGCCCCCTGAGGAAGTGCCGATTGCCTTGAGCTTGAATTTCCTCTTCCAGTCACTCGCCGGCGCGATCTTCGTACCCATTGGGCAGACTGTCCTAAACAGTCAACTCTTGTCGGGCTTGAAGAGCAGCTTGCCCGGTTTGGATCCTGCCATAATCACCAAAGCAGGGGCTACGGGCTGGAGAGAGGTCGTACCGGATGCGGTTCTGTCCGGCGTCGTGGAGGTTTACAATGATGCGCTAACAAAGGTGTTCCTGGTGGGTGCAGTTTGCGGCGCGCTCTCGCTCGTTGGATCGCTGGGGCTTGAATGGAGGAGTGTGAAAGGCAAGCAAGGAAATACGTAGAGACGTATTTGTTGATGTCCATATCATTCAATGTCATGAATTTCCAGGTCAAATCTAAATTGAGAGTCTGAACAGCAATGCAGTCGAGACAACATTTCAAGCTTACCATGCGTGCTACAGTAGCAAGTATCTACATGTTTCACTGTGGTAGGATGATGAAAGGTGTGTAAAGCCGCATCACTGCTAAAGTTTACGTGCTTAATGATTCTACATTGCTGTCCTCTCCGCGTCGCCATCACCTTCGGTAACTTGTGCAGCTATCTTACTCGACTACTCCTTAGCCTGGTCTTCCCATGCCACGAAACAGCGGAATTCACAGCTCTCACGAGCCGGACCCTCATCGTAGGGAGTCGAGATGGCACTGTGGCAGAGCGTTAGCAGCTGGACAGTCAATGACAGAAGAAAGAAACGGCGACTGAAAAACATACCAGTGGGGAGTGCGTCGTGCTGTACCATCGAGCTTCGAATCGTAGATCTTGAACATCCACGCTTCGCTAGGCTTCATGTTGCTGGCCCAGTACCACTGGTGGTCGGGGTTGGCTTCGATCAGCCACTCCTCCGTGTTGGTCGTCTTGGACACTTTCTGCTCCTTCAACTGGCCAGGACGCGGGGGGTCACGGCCGACACTGGCGATGGCAGTGCGAAGGTCGGACTCAGGGACGGTACGAGCGTCGCAAACGGCGAGGGGTTCGCGGCGGACCTGCTTGATGGGCTTCCACAGCGTGATCAGGCCCCAGCGGCCTTTATTGGAGAGGGCCGTGAGCTGAGAATGGAAAGGCTCGGGGATCACTTCGAGGATCTGATGAGCGCCACGGTATGATTGATCTGCATGGTGAGGTCAGTCCTTTGGTGGCACTGCAATTTCAGATTGATCACTCTACTGACCAACGTGGGCAGCCATGTTGGGGGATCGCACGGTCAACTTGGCTCGGTCGTCCAGATTGGGATCCGCAGCCAGCTTCAAGGCGGACTCATGAGAGTCGCAGCGAACAAAGTGGTTGAGAACCTGGGCATGAGTGGCACCGGTACTGTGCTTGTGTTAGAGCTCTCCAGAGAACAAGAGAATGAATACCGGAGCGTACTATTTCCTCAGCTCTGCTTGAACCTGTTCGAAGACTTCCGGCTTGACCTCGCCCTTTTCGTTCAAGATATCCTCTTGGATTCCATGCTGGATCAACTGGAACCCAGAAGTATCCACGGTGAACTTTTCGGTGCAAGTGCGAACGTCTCTTACGCTGACTGGCTTGGTGGTATACTCGAGCCTTTTCGTCGCGATTGTCCCGACATGCTGAATGGGATACTCGTTACAGTTTTTCTGCTTGTGATAGTAGTTGATTTCGGACGGAATAGTAGTGATTGCCATGGCTGAGGGAAGGACGGCAGGTGAGTGAAAAGGGCTAAGAGCGATGGATACTCGGCGCAGGACAAAGCAGCCTGACGAAGCCTTGCTGTTCCGTTGAGCCTTAAACAAGCGATGTATAGCAGAATACCTGACAGTCTATTCGGCGTCCGGAAGATGGGTAATCCGCAAGTAGAGCCCTACAGCGGTTTCGTACTTCATACCGGGAGAACATTGGCTGCGAGACGTGTTCTCCGATCCTGGCCTTCCGCGCCGTCTCTTCCTTCCATGCAGGATGGACTGTCGTGCATGATACTTCTCGATCTTCGCGATCTCCAGCAGAGCAAGGATCTCTCCACTAGTGCGCCGGCGGTAGAACTGTATAACAATGACCGATGCACCGAGGGAGCCCACGGAGCCCGTGAACTCGCCCGCACGCCGGCAAGTCTTATGCTCAGACAGGTTTCTGATGTATAACCTCTGTATAGACACGGGTTGTGCGCGTATATGCCAAGCTAGATATACTATTTTCACACCTTTCTACCTTTCGAACCTATGAACAGAGTCTTCTGCTTGTTGTCTACCCCTACTACGCTTCAATCCCGGTATTCGTGAGGCATATTCTACCTGGAATTGATAACTGAGAGAAATGACCTACATCAGGAGATCCTTTGAATCTAAGCTGTTAGACCTTCTCTGCTTTGCATAAATCCCCGGGCTTTGCCGAAACCTGCCTGAGAATCAGACCAGCCCCGTGTGCCCCCTGCTGAAGCTGCCCCGGATCTGACTCTATGTGTATGACTGTACGTATGACCTGAATAAAAGCCTGGTGTCTCGTATCCCCGCCGGATCGGACTGCACTGATGACCGCCGTGGGTCTTTGCCCCCCAAATTCGACGGCTTCTGCGGGCTAACAACGACATCTAGCAGCATCCGACCCTATGTCGAGTGGCGTCCACCACTGCCGAGAATTGAAAGCCGGGAGTATTCCCTCACAATTCGCATGCCCCAATGCATTTGCTTTGTAGAGACGTGAGCCAACAGCAGAGGACTCGGTCGCACACATCCAATGATTGAGGGTACGCTTCTTGCTGTGTCCAAGGAGACGCTCGCGCTCGTGGCTGTAGTGCTCTCGGTCGCGTACTACGTCTATCGCCTGGGGTAGGCTTCTGTACAAGGTCTTTGGTTGATTCAGCAAGGGCTAACTCTCCGTTGCGATAGATTTCCCAAACCGCTTGCCGGAATCCCTTACAATCCTGAGGCTGCCCAGCGCTTCTTTGGCGACGTTGTTTTCTTTCCCAAACCCGATGCACCCGCATTTCGAGCATGGCTCACGAGCTTGGGCGAGCGATTGCAGTCGCCCATTGTGCAAGTATTCATTCGACCGTACGGAAAGCCGGCTCTGGTAGTGTACGACTATTGGGAGGCATACGACATCAACAACCGACGGCTGGATGAATTCGACAAGACGGAGCGGAACCGACAGATCTTCTCGGAGGTGGTGCCGCAGAATCACACGTCCATGCGAGCCAGCGATGCGGCGTATCCGCGCAGCAAGAACATGATCAAGGGGGTCATGGTACCGTCGTTCATCAGCGAGATCAACGCGCCGGAGATTTATGCCAAAGCGCGCTTGGTCGTGCAGCTGTGGCATATCAAGGCCCAAGAGGCGGGCGGCCACCCCTTCTCGGTGTCGGGCGACGTGCGCGATTACGCATTCGACGCCGTGCTGACGGCGTCGTTTGGATTGAAGGAGGAGGAGGGCATCGTTGCTGGCCAGCTCCGCCACCTCATGCAAGCGGAAGTGCTCCAAGCAGAAGTGCACGTCGACAAGGACGATGTCGACTCGCCCGTGGAATTTCCCGGAATGCCGCTGCCGCAGGAGTACGAAGCCCTGTCCAAGGTGACGGAGTCGTTGGCCTACGCCATCCGCGCCGTCTTTCCCTCGCAGGAGATGTGGTTACGGAAGAACTTGACCGAGATGGGCACATATTATCGCCGCAAGGACCAGTTCCTGCTCGCCAAGATCCACGAAGCGGCGGCGCGGATGGCAGGCGGAGGTGGAGGTGGTGAAGGGACGTCGGCGCGGCGTCGCAGTGCCCTCGACCACTTTGTGCGCCAAGAGATGGACGCCGCTGCCAAGGCCGGCCGCGCCCCGGACTACCTGCACGGGCCGATCCGCGACGAGCTGCTGGGGTACATCATCGCTGGGCACGACTCGTCGACTTCGGCGCTGGCGTGGGCGCTCAAGTACCTGACGACCGACACTCGCGTCCAGCACGCCCTGCGCCAGCACCTCCGCGCGGTGCACGCCGCCGCCTGGCGCGAGGCCCGCTCCCCCACCGTCGCCGAGATCACCAGCACCCGCGCCCCCTACCTCGATGCTGTCGTGCAGGAGGTCTTCCGCTGCGCATACACCACCCCCTTCACCCTCCGCGAGGCCACCCGCGACACCCAGATCATGGGCCATTTCGTCCCGAAGGGCACCACCGTCTGGTTCTCCACCGCCGGCCCGAGCTTCACCCGTCCGGCCATCGAAGGGGACACGAAGGCGGATGGCTCTAATAGCCATCCCAGGAACCCCGCTGCACTCGCCGACAAGCAGCGCGTGCCTGCCTGGCCGCGGGAGGATGTCGCCCTCTTCCGTCCGGAGCGGTGGCTGCGGCCCGACCCCGGCCCGTCGGACCCTCCCGACTCCACCTACTCCCACGTCGAGTTCAACGGCAGCGCAGGCCCCATGATGGCCTTCGGCTCTGGTCCGCGCGGCTGCTGTGGGAAGCGTCTGATCTATCTGTCCATGCGAATCCTCGTGACTCTCGTCCTCTGGGACTTTGACCTCTTGCCCTGTCCGACTCGACTCTCCTCCGACGAGAGCGATCACGGCACTGCAAGTCATCCCAAGCAATGCTATCTTCGTTTAGCAAGCACCACTCCCGGGTCGTGAAACGAAACGGGTCGAGTAGACATCTCCACTAATACAAGATGATACAGTCTTTTCTCGTCAACCAGTCCAGTCTTCACCGTGATGTGCGGACCAGGATATACATACATATATATATATATATATATTTAACAAGTGAGATGAGCCAGTATCGACAGCATTCGGTTCCCGTCTCGCATGCATCTACCCTGGACCATGTCCCGGCATGTCCGTGACGCAGACCTCTCATGGCGTCTCCGTCACACGATACACCAACTTTGCTCCGCTGACTTTTCTTTCCCGCAATTGTTGCAAGCCGTCCAATAACCCCTCGAGACCGTCTTTGCCAAGTCGAACGGGGTGTGGTTTGAGCCGTCCGTCCGACAGCAGCTGCGAGGTGAGTGCAGCAAATTCCTTACCACGCGCAAAGTCTTCCGCCTTCGCTGGCCACGAAATTCCGAATTTGTCGAAAGCTTCACCGAAGACTGTGTACGCAAAGACTCGTTTATCCACAATGTCGGTCCGACTGTGCTTTGCTTGGAACAGATAGCAAATCGTTCCACCCTTGGATTCGGAGATCGAGTCTTCACAAATCTTGGCGGAATCGCCTTCCGCGATGCAATCTAGCCCTAGCACAAGGCTGTTGCTTGTGAATGCGCGGATCCACGAGCCATCAGCGAAATGCACTGCTTTCCAGATAGCGTTTCTCTTACCTTCTTCGCACAATCCGGATCTTTATAGTCAAATGCCTCTTCTACACCCAGCTCCTTGAGCAGAGGCCAATTATGAGGGGAGGCAGTGGCGATGACCTTGCATCCAGATCTATACGAAGTGTCAACGCTGTGTGCAAGCTTCATTGGAGTTGCATGCATGATTGACGGACAGTCTGGCATATTGGATGGCCAAAGTTCCACTGGCAGTGCTGCCACCGTACACGAGTAAGAACCCATCATACGGCTCGCCGCCAGGCAAAGGTAGCTCGAGGGCTTGGTACAAAGCCTGGCCACACGTGGCGACCGCAACGCCCAGAGTTGCGGCATCCTCATCGCTCATGGCATCCGGAACCTGCGGATACTCATTCGTTAGCAGCCATCTTGGCTGGAAGGAAACAGGCGTCCTCACCTTGAGCGCCACGTCGGCTTTTACGAGACAGTATTCCGCGAACGCCCCTAGATGGTTGATCAGTCCCATGTCAGCCCTCGTCATGTCTCTGAGGTCGTCACACCATCGTCCGGCTGTGTTACGTTGCCGCCGTGTACGAAGGCCGCGATCCGATCTCCCTTTTTCCAGTGATCGCCACAACCGGGACCGGTCTCTTCAACAACTCCGCCTTGTGACTGTCAGCACCGTTCAATCCGTCGCCTAGCTGATATCGTCCACCAGCGGGGAACTTGCTCACTACAGTCTGCTCCCAAGGTCACCCCTGGCACGCCGATGAAGTCCAAGTATTTCCTGGTCCACTTAGCACCGTCACATTATTCATCCGAGCCCCTCTTCTCGACAAATCTCCTCAACATACCAATCCGCGGGATTCAGTGCCACACAGCGCACTCTGCAAAGCAAGTATCCATCTCTCAGCTTCGGAATCGGAACTGGCTGCACCGCGGCAGTCCTCCCGGCCGTGACTTTGATTGCTTTCATCATCTTTGCTGCGGCGCCTTGGTGCCAGCTATTTCGCGCAAGTCTTGCAGTCGACCATCCGCGTATTATCCAGCAGAATAAATATCTTCAGAATCCCTCCGGTACAACCAATGGTCCGTGGCGTGCGGCATCATGAGGTATAGCATACAAAATATATATCCGACTCTCACCACGCTACACGAGGGTATCTAGTTACAGTACGTTCCTGACGCATTGCCAATTGAGACAGGACATGGGGAGTAAGCCGATCGGGAGAACGTGGGTCGGAGACCGTGGACCCGGTAGCCGCATGGAAAGTTCGGTAGAACCTTAGAGGTACCGCTTATCTCCGTACGTCAAAATACTCCCCTCACACCTGCCTGTGAGCAGTTCGACAGGTGATCGACCGTACAGGCTATGTCCGGGGCCGTGGGGAACGATTCCCTGATCTGTGCACAATGCTTACAGTACATGCCGGACCGGCCTACGACTGCACCTTAAGCTTGTTTTGCCTACTTGCGATGGCGTGCGCGCTACAGCTGGAACCGCCCACCCGCTCGCTATTTACGTACGTATTCCCTCCCGTACATACGCGCTGCTTCTCGCCCGCTATTTACGTGCGTATTCGCTGCTTGCGGGGCCTTTGTAAGGTGCTCGCACCTTGCGAGCGTCTGTGCCATTGAGGCTAAGGCGACAAGAAAGGAAGGCGAAAGCGAATCTCTGAACCTAATTACGAATCGCTAATCGATCGGGAAGATTCCCATCGATCGCTCAACAACCCCGGCTCCATGAGAGCAGCGATTATCCATCACCTCCAACCCTATTACCTACGACGGACACGTGCGACGGCCACGTGCCCTGAAAGTCGGTCCTTCACTTACGGAGCAGCCTTAGCATTGTCTCGGAGAATAAGAATACAGAGCTAGCTACGACAACGGATCCGGTCCACATCATGTCCTCCGTCTCCGACTCCTCGTTTTTCAAGCCGTTGTGCTCGAGGGAGGAGGAGGGACATGGTACGTGGTCATGTAGGAGCCCTGCTTCTTGGAGTAGTTGAACGACACATAGTCATGGTTCTGCGTAGCGGCGAGATCGGTCCCCACACTACGGCGGTGTCAGCTATCGCGCGAGAGATTTCGGAGAGTTTGAGGGTCCAGGAATGAGCTTACAATGTCTTTCTCAGTAGATCACCATACTTGCCGCTGCCCCAGTCCCAGCCTAGGAGGCTGAAGACCTGTTCGAGGTTGTGGATCGCTTGCACGTCGGTCTCGTGGTACTGCCAGAACGGAACGTAGATCTTGATGTCTGGCGTGGGAACCAAGGCACTGACCTCGAATGACACGAGAAGACCTGTCCGTTGAGTATTCGGGTCCAAGGGTGGGCGGTCGTAGTCCTCATCATCTTTAAACTTTGGATCGTTGAGGAGCAGATGCCAGATGGATCGAAGGCGGGCCAGGAATTCCGTCGTTTCCTCCGTCACCGCGCGGCCGCCCAGGGTCATGATGTTTCGAACATTGGAGAAGGCCGTGGTGTGCGTTCGACCGTACATCTTGACACGAGCACGACTGGGGTCGATGCAATCCAGGCCCGCAAAGAGGATTGGGGATGGCAGCTTTGCGTGTTTCTCATTCTGGAAGTAGTGCTGAATCGCATCCAGACTGGGAGATAATGCTTCTCCGCCGGGCTCGAGTCGACGGACGGCGGAGAAGAGGAATGCGTCTGAGTTAGTGGCATTGTTGGACTCCGCACTGACTGTACCGAAAAATTTGGGCAAGTGGGAAGTGCAGTATTTCATGGCTCGGTTGTCGCCATCGAATGTGATGCCAAAGTAGGCCAGGGAAATTCGCTGTATGCCAGGACGGAGACGAGGCTTTGCAATTGCGCTTTCTTCCGCGGTCGGGGTGAAAGCCACTCTCAGTTGGTGAGCCCATCTTGTATCGACTGGAGTCGTCATCCCGTTGACCAAGGTGGTGAAGCAGGCTGGGATACACTTGGCGGCGAAAGGGTCCTCTGCAGATCCGGAGGTGGCGTCCAAAGGCTCGATCTCCATTCTCGCGATTGGCTTTCTTGCGTCTGACAGATTGACTGAGAAGCCCAGCGGCATGTTGGCGACGGTCAACACGGCCTTGGTATGCGGATGTGGTAGTCTGGGTCCCAGATGGGGCAGCAGCGAGTCGAAGAACTTGACATGTTCATCTTGCTGTTCTGGCGTATAAGCCCCGATTTCCGTGATATATCTTCGAAATTTGGGCAATAAGAGATCTGCCCAGAACTTGTGGTCTTCGTTTTGAGATTTCAATTCCGCCATCTTCGTTTGTCTCCAACTTGCCAAAGGCTTTCTGTGCTTGGGTTGGATTCGTGACGGCGAGGGGAGTTTTGACTTGCTACTAGTGGCGAGCGTCAGCAGGCACTATACGGTAGCACGCCACGGTGACGTTCCAAGGTCGCAAATCGACACGGTGAGGGAGCCATGATCGGATGTCGGTAGACCACTAGCCCCGATGGAGGAGTCTCATGGAGTCGCGGATACGCCGACTTAGTACCAAAGTCGCATAGCTGGATGTCTCCCAAACATCTGGAACGTCTCATCTCCGAAGATGTACCCGTTTGCACTGCCGCCTCCGTTGAATCTGCACATACGCGTTTATGCAATTTGGCGGTCCGCTCGGCTCTGTGAATGACGGTGATTATCTCTCAGAGGTATCGGGAACAAAAGCAGTACATAACCAGCCCGGCTAACAGTTGGAATAGCAACTTTGCTGACTTTGCTGCTATTCCTTCATTTCATCGCTGCAACCACTGGCTGGATCAAGTGAATGATAATAGAGCCAGATGAAGGAACAGAGCCAAGAAATTGCCATAATTGGCTCAGCGTGTCGTCTTCCAGGCGGCGCTACGTCGCCATCAAAATTATGGCAACAGCTCATCCAGCCACAAGACCTATTACGGCCAGTACCACACGACAGGTTCGCATTGTCGGCATACCACAATAACGATGGAACGAAACCAGGCGCCACCAATGTTATTAATAAAGCATACCTCCTTGAGGAAGATCCCGCGGAGTTCGATGCATCTTTTTTCTCCATTTCTCCCGCCGAAGCTGAGGGCATGGATCCCCAACAACGCCAACTGCTCGAAGTAACGTACGAAGCTCTGGAGTCCGCCGGCTATGGTTTGGGCAAAGTCAGCGGCTCTTCAACGGGGGTCTACGTCGGCTCGTCCGGCGCCGACTATCGTGACATCCAAAACCGGGATCTGGACACACTCGGCCGATGGCACGCCACGGGAACTGCTTCTTCGATCCTTGCCAATCGAATATCTCATTTCTACGGTCTCTGTGGGCCCTCTCTTACAATCGACACAGCCTGCTCGAGCTCTCTGGTTGGATTACATCTAGCGGTGCAGGCGATCCGGAATGGCGACTGCGAACAAGCGATGGTCGCTGGTTCAAATTTGATCCTGGACCCCACGCCATACGTTTCCGGCTCCAAATTGAAACTCTTCTCTCCAGATGCGCAGTGTCGCATGTGGGATGAGTCAGGCAATGGATATGGCCGGGGCGAAGGTGTAGCTGTTGTCATGTTGAAGCCCCTAGTAAATGCGCTTCGGGACGGCGATCATGTCGAGGCTGTGATTAGGGAGACGGGGGTCAATCAAGATGGACATACTCCGGGGATCACCATGCCTAGTGCGGAAGCTCAGATAAATCTCATCAGGCGCGTTTATTCGAAGGCGGGTCTCGATCCCCGCGTCACGGTGCCCCAATTCTTTGAAGCTCACGGAACTGGCACCGCTGCTGGAGATCCAGTGGAGGCTCGCGCTATCTATGAGTCCTTCTTCGGCGATGAAAAGACCGTTTCAAATCAGGATGGCGCTCCGAAGCTTAGTGTGGGTTCTGTCAAAACAGTCATTGGGCACCTCGAAGGCGCGGCGGGTATAGCTGGGTTGCTCAAGGCCTCCTTGGCTCTTCAAAATGCCCACATCCCGCCAAATCTACTATTCAAGAAGCCGAACCCAGCTTTAACACCCTACCTCCATGCACTGGAGGTTCCCGTTACCGCAAAACAGTGGCCTGCGGTCGAAGAAGGCATACCACGCCTGGCCAGCGTGAACTCCTTTGGATTTGGAGGAACAAACGCACACTGTCTCCTCGAAAGCTTTCCACAACATGACTCGCATCCCGGAGAAGATAGAAGACCGGAACGGCAAGAGTCGGAAGAGACGTGTATCGGCCCCGTCGTGCTTTCGGCACAATCAGGGCGCTCGCTACTTTCCGCAGTGAAAGCGCTCGCAAGCTATCTCGAATCGAACCCTGGAGCTTGTCTGAGGGACTTGTCGTACACTCTTGGCAGGAGACGTAGCAAGCTGGGTGTGAGGACTTTCTTTGTGGCCAACTCCAGACGAGAATTGATCAGCCAGCTTCGACATGATGCTGAGAACGTCAAGGATGCCACAGATTTCGGATTCCGCCCGCCTGCCCGACTCACGGGAAGCCCTCACGGATTTCTCGGAATCTTCACTGGCCAGGGAGCGCAATGGGCTACCATGGGTCGGGAGTTATATCAGCGATGCGCTCAGTTCAGAGAGTCGATTGAGAGTTGCCAGGCTGCTCTGGACGCACTTCCAGACGGGCCGCAATGGTCAATAGCCGAGGAGATGCTCAAGACGAAGCAGACTTCCCGCCTCTCGGAGGCAGCGATTAGCCAGCCTCTCTGCACGGCACTGCAAATCGCTCTTGTGGATCTGATAAAGCTGACAGGGCTGAGGTTTGACGCCGTGGTCGGGCATTCCTCTGGTGAAATCGCAGCATGCTACTACATGGGTCTGATTTCGGCAAGCGAAGCGGTGTGCATCGCGTACTATCGCGGCGTCCATTCAAGTCTTGCTGGAGGGTCAAACGGTCAGAAAGGGGCCATGATGGCGGCCTCGATGACCCACCACGAGTCGAGCGAGTTTTGCGCACGACCTGACTTCCAAGGCAGAATCCAGGTTGCAGCACAAAATGCTCCATCGTCAGTAACGCTATCAGGAGATGCCGATGCAATCTCCAAAGCGCAAGAAGAGCTAGCGGGTGCGGGTATCTTTGCTCGCGTCCTGAAAGTCGACACAGCCTACCATTCGGATCACATGTTGCCCTGCGCAGCGCCGTACCTAGAATCACTGAAACGTCTGAACATCCAAGTCCGGCAGCCCAGGAGTGATTGTATCTGGGTATCAAGCGTGCGTCCACACTCTTTCAGTTCCTCGTCACCTCTTGACTTGGCGGAATTGAGCTCTCAATACTGGCTTGACAACATGGTTCAGCCTGTGCTTTTCGCACCGGCCATCGAGAAGGTATTACGACAACATGGCAGTGGGTTTGAGATGGGGGTGGAAATCGGCCCTCATCCAGCGCTTGCAGCCCCTGCGAAGGACACCATCATGGAGTTCAATGGGACGGCCCCGCTCTACACTGGAATCCTCGAGCGTGGTATGGATGATGTGCATGCGAGTTCTACCGCCATTGCACTGATCTGGCAGCAAGTGACTGACGACGACATCGACGTCGCAGCGTATGCGGAAGCTTTCCACGCACGAGGAGACTCTCCGGCCAAGCTGTTGAAAGGACTACCGAGCTACGAGTGGGACCACAAGCCATGCTGGCGTGAGTCGCGGGTATCTCGCACAGTACGTCGGCGAGAGAATGCTACTCATCCTCTGCTGGGCAGCCGGCTTCCCGGGGATGTACGAGACGAATTCCGTTGGAGGAACATCCTTCGCCTGGTCGACGTGCCCTACCTCTCCGGACATAAGTTCCAGGGCCAGACCATGCTGCCCTTGGCTGCGCAGGTGTCCATGATCTCCGATGCTTGCGGCATAGCCTTTCCGCAGAGTTCTGTGGAATCGATTGACATATTGAACCTCGAGACCCCTCGAGGTATCAGTATTGAGGCAGAAGGTCCTGGGACGGAGCTGCTGAGTACTCTTCGTGTCGTTGATCGCAACACCAGCACGAAGGGGACGACCTCGATTTCGGCCGAGTGGTCATGCCATGTGTCCTACGACTCAGAGCTCGGCATACCGGAGCCGGTGTGTACATGCCAGATCCAGTTTTCTTTCGGCAGCGAACTGGCCACGAGCCTCCCACGCCGAGAATCGGATCCTCCCATCACTACGCCAATATCGAGCGCAAAGATATACGAGTCCTTCAATCACGACGGAGTGCAATATTCAGGGCTATTTAATCGCTTAAGTAGCGTCGGTCAAGCCTTGGAGTTCGCATCAGCCTCTGCCTCCTGGACTTACGATGAGCTGGAGAATCATAAGCTACATCCTGCGGTGCTTGATGTTGGCTTCCAACTCCTCATTCCTGCAACCTTCAGTCAACACGGCGAAGATGCGTGCGGCCCGTATCTACCAAAACGCGTTGGACGCATCTCTATTCGGCGAGACTTTGCATCGCCGGGTACGGGAGAGGATTTGTCCTTGGCAATCGACGCTTTCTCTGGTGTCGGAGAGTCTTCTCACGTACTGGGCGACATTGCATTCTACAGTGCATCTGGCGAATGCGCCGTCCAGGTCGAATCCATGGAATTGGTACCATTCACCAGCCCTGACGCTTCCAACGATCGCAGGATTTTCACCAAGGATGTATGGATTGAGGACACATTCGGCTTGTCACTTGAAACATGCGGTCAGGATCTTGAGAATGACACAGGCCATCTTGCTGAACTTGTCGATCGCTTCTGCTTGTATTATTCTCGTCAAGCATTAGACAGCATATCTGAAGCGGCGACTCTTTCGAGTCCGCTGCTGCGGCTGTTGCGCGAGGAAATCACAGCCGTCGTGGAAGTGGTCAAGTCGGGAAATCACACCTCCTTAGCCGCAGAGTACGCAGAAGACTCGTTTGAATCTTTGATGGACGAATATTTGCGCTACCAGGACCACAAGACCTTGCAAAGGGTGCATGGTTTGGGCCAGAACCTTGTCAAGACCATGCAAGGAACGACCAGTAGCCCGCAGCTGCAAAGCGCACGTCAAGACGAGCCTTGGAATGCCGAGCTTGGGAATGCCATTGCCCGTTTCGGACATGGAATTACTCAGAAGCATCCAAACATGAATATCCTGGAGATTGGCGAGGGAGACTCCGGGATGACAGCCCACATCCTCAAGTCCATTGGGACTGCGTACGTCTCCTATACTTGCGCCAGTCCGGTTTCTACATCATCGCAGAGCTTTCCATCTGAAGTTTTGGAGAAAGTGGAATTCAAGCCTATGGACATCTTGCAGGAGCCTGAGCGTCAAGGATTCGAGCGCCATAAATACGACCTCCTGATCAGCTCAGCTCCCATTCACGGTGATGCAGCTTTTCAAAGGGCTCTCTCGAACATGAGGACCCTACTACGGCCCGGAGGCTACCTCCTCTTGGTAGCGAAGACGGGTACCAATCTTCTCACCACTCTGACGCTCGGCACGAGTGCCATGTCCGGGTCGGAGGATATTGAAGAGAGCATCACTCTCGCCGGGAAATCGCCCCGTGAATTGGACTCTCTGCTCGTTGCCTGCGAATTTTCTGGTCTGGAGCATATAGTTCAAGACTCCCCGCACCCGTCCACAAACACGTATTCCCTGATCGCCAGCCACGCGGCCAGCCATATGTTCAACCTAGTGCACAACCCTCGTCCTTCGATGGCACGAATCATCGACGAGCGAGCCCGGATCTTGTTGATAGGTGGACGGAGTCTCGCGACTGCCAAACTGGTCCGTGATGTACGAAAGGTGCTGTCGGAGGTGACTCCACATATCTTCTTCGTAGACAGCATCGAGAAGCTGGAAGTGCTTCCCCTCGAGGGCAGTTTCGATTGTCTGTGTTTCCATGACCTCGACCAGCCCCTGTTTGCCGGACGTCGCAATGCAAAGACCCTGGAGTGCCTACAAGAGCTTTACGGCAATGTCCGGAATTTACTGTGGTACACATCTGGCAGAATCCATAAACCAGAAGCATCGATGTCTATTGGCATTGGTCGCTCTCTCTGTGGCGAGGCGCCGTGGCTCAATGCGCAATTCATAGACGTCCCGAGCGCCACAAAGACAACGGCAGACTCCGTGGTGGAGGCATACTGCCGCCTTGCTCTCGCACCGACGATAGCGAATTCGAACGAGAATCTGCTGTGGAGCCTCGAGCCTGAGCTCGTGATACAGGGCGACAGAACCTTGATATCGCGAGTGGTGGAAAATCGGAGCATCAACGACCGATTCAACGCCACCCGAAGGCCAATACTTCGTGAAGGAGCGTATCCCGAAACCGAAGTCTGTTTGGGACAAGACTCTCAGGGCCGAGTACAGCTGGCTCAGGACATAACCGTCCAAACAAGCGCTCTCGACGCGGGACTGTGCTGCATCAGAGTCAAGTACTCCGCTGCTTTGGTCGCTGCCGATGCTGCCAAAACTGCTCTATGCTTTGGTTATCGAGCAGAAGCCGAGACACCAGTCTTTGCCATTGCGAAGCAAGCCGGATCACTTGTCGTCACGCCTGAGGTCGCCACTTTGCTCTGCGAGAACCAGACCATTGATCCAGTCCGCGACCTGTCATCAATGGCGTTGTACATCCAGGCAGCCATCTGCGCAAGCCGTGCCGCACAGGAAGGCTGCACTTTACTTTTCGGCGTACGTGAAGATCTCGCTGAAGTGGTCCGAACAAGTCCGCTCTGGAAGGACAGATCCGTCGTCATTGCGGTGATCGACAGTGAAGACAGGCAGTGCGCAGATGGCGTAATTTTCCTCCATCCCATGTCGACACCACGTGCCATCAAAAGAAAATTGTCGCAGCAAGTTGACATGGCATTGGACTGTTCCTCGATTGGCAACGATCAGCTATGGAGCCGGGTACTCTCAACTCTGCAATGTCGCCATGAGAAGTTGACGGAAGCAGACTTCTTCGCAGAACCATCGCTGTCATCTCTGCAGGTATGGCTTCAGGAGGCACATGTGGCAGCCCGTCAGCTGTTAAACTCGCAGCCTGAGGCCCGGGGCTTAGACGTTCTACCCATCCAGGAGATAGGCCAGGAGGGTTCATCCTCACAGATATCTTCGGCCATAGTGGCCTGGCAGGAAACGGAGCCTTTCACATATCGCGTAGCAGGCCTGCCGTCCGAAAAGCTCTTCTCCGACAGGAAGACGTACTTCCTGGCAGGCATGACCGATTCTCTCGGTCTGTCCATCTCAGCTTGGATGATCCGATCTGGAGCCAGGCATCTCGTACTCGCCAGCCGGGATCCCAAGGTTCCGCCGCAATGGCTAGAAGAGATGGCCTCGCTGGGCGCAAACATCAAGGTCTTGACCGTCGATATCTGCCACAAGGCCATGCTCACCAACGCCGTCAAAGAAATTCAAGCGCACATGCCGCCCATCGCGGGCGTGTGCAATGGATCACTGGCCCTCTCGGACGGGCTATTGGCCGACGCGACCTTTGAGTCCTTCGATCGAACGCTGAAGGCTAAAGTTGATGGATCCAGGAACCTCGATCAGGTCTTCTCGGAGCCCAGCTTGGACTTCTTTGTGCTATTTGGCTCCATAGGATCGGTGGTGGGGATTCCCGGTCAGGCGAATTCCCACGCGGCGAACCTACACATGTCGAGCCTGGTCGACCACCGACGCAACCGAGGTCTGGCGGCTTCCATCATGGACACTGGAATCGTCACGGATGTAGGACTCGTGCAGCGAGAGGGAGAAGCCGCATTAGCCATGGTCCGACGACAGCATCTCGAGCCTGTTTCTGAGACCACTTTGCATCATTTATTTGGAGAGGCTGTCCTGGCTAGTCCTATCGGCTCTGGAGAGGAATCAAGCATTCTCGTTGGACCGAAGAGAGTGCCACGCACGCTGGATCCGGACCAGAGGCCAGTGTGGTATTCCAATCCAAGGCTCTCGCATTTCCTGATCGATGAGGTATCTGAGACAGCATCGGACAGCCAAGGACCAGCTTCCTTGCTGGAGCAATTGCAGCTTGCATCCTCCGAGGATCATATGCTGGCTATCTTGATGGAAGCTACCCAAGCAAAGCTCGAAAATCTTTTAGGAATGGAGCACGGTACCGTCGCCGCCGGTGGAGCAGGCTCATTGCTGGATTTTGGAGTAGATTCGGGCATTGCTCTGCAGGCGAGCAACTGGTTTGCCAAAGAGGTCCAAGTCAGAATGCCCGTCATGAAGCTGTTGACGACACCCAATTTGAAGCAACTGTGTCTCGACATCATGCGCAAAATGGAGGTAAATTTGCCTCGCTCCGCGGAGGAGACTGCCATTGAAGGCACCGCCATTTCCGAGAGAACAGGACGTTCCTCTTCTCCCGGCGCCAGCCATTCTGATCGCTCCATTTCGACGACGAGCGATGAGTTACCATCCATTCGAACACCTGCATTGGCATCATCATCTCGGGATAGCTCCGTTCACACCAGAGCATCCACTCCAATGAGTACACTCACCTCTTTCGACTCTTTGCATTCTATCACAGCAACGGGTTCCCCCAAGGGCTCATCGCTCTCCCCCGGCCAAGCACAGCTCTGGGCAGCTACCGTTCAATCTGGGAATGATACCAAATTAAACTTTACGCTGCAATTCGACGTCGAAGGAGCAATCGACGTCGGCAGACTCCGATCAGCGCTCGCCTCGCTCATCGCGCAGCAAGAAATGTTACGATGTTCATTCGTCGAAACCTCTGCTGGAGAACTTCAGCAGCGTGTATGGCCAGACAAGGACTTGAGCCGCTGCTTCAAGCACCTTCCTCCGGGCGATCTACGCCGCGCGGAAGAAGAGTATGAGCGACTTTCTCGGCACTGCTGGCAGCTCAGCGAAGGCGATACGTTTATGCTTGTACTGACCAACGGCCCGGCTGACAAGCATGTCATCACTCTTGCAGCCCATCACTTTGTCATGGACGGCATGAGCATCACTATGTTCTTCGACCTTCTGGCGTTGGCGTATCAGGGTCAAAAGCTGCCCGCTTTGCAACGGACATATACTGCCTACGCGGAAGAATATGTTGCTGAGCTTGCAGCACACCGTCTCGATGACAAACTTGAATTTTGGAAGACAAAATTGTCTCCGTCGGTTGCCACTATGCCTGTGTTTCCAATGGCCATCTCTGGCGTACGAAAGCCCCTCGATGATGGGAATACCGGCATTTTGACTGTGAAGTCTTCGATTTCTGCCCCAGCGGTTGACAAGATCAAAGCGATGGGCCGCAAACTACGCTGCACACCCTTTCACTTCATGACCACAGCCCTCATTGTGCTGTGTGCCAAGATGCTCCATCTGGAGGACATCTGTATTGGTATTACGGATGCGGGAAGGCTCGATGAGCGAGACGGCGAGACGGTGGGACACTTTGCCAACATTCTGCCACTTCGCACTCGCGTTGAACCTGGGACATCGATGGCAGATCTGGTGCCAATCGTGCTTCACAATATCGCACAAGCAACCGAAAACGCAGGAGTGCCATTTTCAAGCATCGTTCGAGCCACGAAGACTCCGCGCTCGGCAACACATTTCCCCATCTTCCAGGTGGGGTTGAATTTTTTCCCACTGGACGCCAGAACGCAATTCGGCCCGAGCACGATGCAATGGCGGACAGGCAACATGGCACAGAGCCTGACGGATCTGAGCTGGTGGGTACATGCCCGAGACGATGGGTCGTATGCGATGCAGGTGGATGGTCGGAATGACCTTTACTCATTGGACGGACTGGATCTGCTGATGCAAACCTACAAAGACTTGACGGAGACGTTGTGTACCGAGCCAAATGTGAATCTTGAAAGGCTTCGTACATTCAGCGATCAGGCCATCCAGGCTGCAGACGAAGCCGGGCTCGGGCAGACGAGAGACTTTGGCTGGGAGAGGACGCTCCCGGACAGGTTTGATGCTATAGCGGAAAGGTACTTTGACCAGCGGGCAGCGGTCGACAGCGCGGGCAGCGTGACATACGAGGAACTCCGGCATCGTGTGCACAACATCGCTGCGGCGCTCCAAGACTCCGGTTTAGCTCCCGGTTCTGCAGTTGCCGTGATGACAGGACCCTCGGTCAACACACTGGCGAGCATGCTGGCAATCATACGCATCCGATGTATCTATGTCCCTCTCGACCTGAGCCTGCCTCAAGCAAGACACACAGCCATGGTCGAGGACTGCAGCGCGCGGGTTCTGCTTTTCGAAGACTCAACAGCCGAGCGAGCGTCTGCGCTCCGGGTGGATGGAATGGAGATCCTAAATGTTTTTGAGCTGTTGACCACCGGAGGCACGCAAAGAGAGGTTCCCAATCTCAGTGAGCCCCATGAGCCTGCGATCTTGCTGTACACCAGTGGCAGTACCTCGGTCCCGAAAGGAGTTGTGCTGGCGCAGGCGGGCTTTCTCAACTACGTCGCGGCCAAAACAGCATTCCTCGGTCTCGAACGGGAGGTGGTGTTGCAACAGAGTTCGATATCTTTCGACATGGGGCTGGCGCAAATGCTGCATTCATTCTGCAACGGCGGAACGCTCGTCATTGTCCCACAGCATGCACGAGGAGATCCAGTGGCGACGGCACAAATCATGCTGGCGCATCACGTTACATTCACCGTAGCCACACCAACGGAATATACTGCTTGGCTGAGCACGAGCTCGGAGACGATTGATCAATACGAGCAGTGGCGACATGTGTGTTACGGCGGCGAATTCGTAACGGATCGTCTGAGTGCGCTGTTCCGTCAGCTACAGCGCCAGAAACCATTGCTGAACAACAGTTACGGACCTACAGAGACGTCTTGTGCGACGACGCTGTGCGTGATGGGCGAGAAGGATTCTCCGGCTATGGCAGGATACGTTGGCAAGCCGCTCGCCAACTCACGTATTCGCATCGTTGATCAAGATGGGCAGCCTTTGCCGCTTGGACATGCAGGCGAGATCTGTATTGGCGGACCTGGCCTTGCCGTTCGCTATGCAAACCCAGACGATACTCGAAAGCGGTTCATCATGCAGGAAGAAGTGTCATCGTCCTCGCAATCCAGTGCGCAAGCTCCACGGCGGCTGTACAAGACGGGTGACCGCGGGAAACTGCTTGCGGATGGGTCGCTGATCTTGCTCGGGCGCATGGAGGGTGACACACAAGTCAAGATGCACGGTCTGCGCATTGATGTGACGGAAGTCGAACATGCCTTGCTCAATGCCATCCCCGACTTCCTCGCAGAAGCCATCGTCACAATGCGAGGCGCTGCAGATGAGGCCTTCCTCGTCGCCCACGTGGTCTTGACCGCTGGAAATACTGCAGGCAAAGGCGAGCTGCAGCTCCTGACGAGACTGCTCAGGTTGCCCAAATACATGCTGCCCAGGAGCATCATTGCCGTTGCAGGGCTCCCGACTACGGCGAGCGGCAAAATCGATCGCCGTGCCATTGCCCAGCTGCCGCTCGAAGCTCTTGGCTCCAAACGGACATCTGCCGAGCAGCTCGTCGAGGCCGAAGTCCTTCGGATATGGCGTGAAGTGCTTGGGGAGGAGGAGCCCCTGGATTCCGAGTCGGACTTTTTCTCGGCCGGCGGTGATTCACTGCTCGTGATCAAGCTCCAAGCGGGCATCAAGGCACGCATGGGCTTGTCCGTTTCACTTGCCGAGTTGTACGCGGCCAGCACGTTGGGCGAGATGGCGGCGAAAATGGCGAGCGTGAGACGCACACAGCCCAAGCCTGCGTCCATTGACTGGGAGGCAGAGGTCCAAGTGCCCACACCGATGGTGGAGTTGGCGGCGGCGGCGCGCCCAGACGAGCACGCAGCGAGCGCAGCGACGAGAGGCGTGGAAGTCGTGCTCACTGGAGCGACCGAACTCCTGGGTAACGAGATCCTGCTGGCGCTCCTGAACGACCCGTCGATTCGCAGGATCCACTGCGTGGCCGTCGCCGAGGGGGATCATGGGCGACTGCCCTCGGATGCACGCGTCGTGGTCTACCCGGGCAGTCTGCGGCATCCAACGCTGTCCTTGAGCGACGAAGAGCACGATTTTCTCCAAGACACCGCGCACGTCATCATCCACACAGCCGCAGAAGGGCACTGCCTCAATAACTATGCGACGCTGCGCTCCGCCAACCTGCTCTCGACTCGGTATCTCGCGCAATTAGCCCTGCCGCGATGCCTACCCATTCACTATGTCTCCGGCACGCGCGTGACGCTCTTGTCGGGCACTGCCGATTTGCCGCCGTTCTCTGTCGCTGAATATCGACCGCCACAGCATGGACATGATGGCTTCACCGCGACCAAATGGGCGAGCGAGGTTTTCCTGGAAGCGCTGGCACGCCTTTCTCCCGCGCTGTCAGTCACCGTCCACCGCCCGTGCGCACTGACGGGTGAGAATGCAGCTCCGGACAATGTGGTGAATGCCCTCGTGCGGTGCTCGGCCGCCATCAAGGCAGTCCCGCGTAACGACGAAGCCGAGGGTTATTTGGACTTCAAAGACGCCCGTATCGTGGCGCACGACATGGTGGAGCAGGTCCTGGCTGGCCTCGGCGATGATCCTCAGCGTGGCGTGCGTTTCGTCCACCACTCCAGTGGCCACAAGATTCCCGCACGCGAGCTGGGAAGGCGAATGGAGATGATATACGGAGGCACATTCCGCAAGCTCGAGATGGGCGAATGGATCGCTTCAGCCAAGGCTTCGGCCGGTCTGCATTTCCTCGCCGCCACGTTCTTGGAGGCCATGATGGACAAGCATGTCACGAGTGTGTATCCCTATATGGGCGAGGAGTTGTGAATCGTGTGAATGGCGTTGCATCTTTCCCGGAACGGCCCGATATTGGCGCTAGCTTTGATACCTTAGGTAATGCGATGATAATGTGATATCTTGTTCCAATACAATATTTAAGCTCTGATAGCGGTGATCTCGAACGTAAGACTCAACATCGCTGGTCAGACGGTTGCAGAAGAAGGGAATGAGAAGTTGGATGTTGCCAAGTCACAGTACAGAAAAGGAGGCCTGGGCTGCAGCTTGCACAGGATATGGGTGCGTCTCCGCACACCGATCGAAGCCGGCGCGGGACCGAATTCCGAGCTTGAAAGATGATGAATATGAGCGAACCTTTCAGGATTGGGCCACATCCACGGAAGGCCTTCCATGAGGTGTTGCACTAATCTTGCCGGCATAACTAGACAGATCTTCGTCTGAAATGGAAACCTTTATCAACACATCGGAAAGGACACGACGAATGGACACTTCTGACATGGCAGCCCACTGCCCGCGACATCCTGGCCTTCGCATCCATGACCACGTCCTCGGCTTGGACATCTTGCAAGCTTGCCCTGCTCCAGGAGTCAGGAGGAGAGGAGTAGACAGGAATAATAGGGAGCTGTCTGGCCCGAAGCTCGTCGTCCTCACCATCTTGGAGAGCTCTTCCGATATCTCCAGCCAACATGGACAGCCCGTCGCCCTCGATTGAGACGATCGTCAACTACTATCTCCCGCCACCAGACAATGGGCCTCCTCCCATTTACAATGTGGCCACAGCAGGCAGCCGAAGGATGAAATTCGATGCTCGCCGTCGTACCATTACCGATATCCGCGGCCGGGAGAAGGATTTCCACCTGGACACCCACGGTTTCCAATACGTGACCGACTTCCCCAGCGCCGAGACGGCATTCGACGACGATGGCAGGATCAAAACCGTCGTCTATCGCGAAGTGGAAAAGATGCTCAAGAAGGCGTAAGTCTGTTACAACACCAACAAGCCACATGGAGAACGTCTCGATTGACCCGAAGAACTCAACAACAGCACCGGCGCAACGACCGTCTTCATTTTCTCGCACATCATCCGCCGCGACCCCCTCTCCAAAGCCCTGAACATCCCGAAGGAAATCGACGACCAGGAAATCGTCCGCGTCGCCGCACCAGCCTGGTTCGCCCACGTCGACCAATCCTACGACGGAGCCTGGATCGCCCTCGACAGCATCTCGCGCCGCGATCCCGACCCGTCCGCCAAATTCCTCAAAAGCATGGCGAGAGACTGTAGATGGGGCATCATCAACGTGTGGCGTCCGATCCGACACGTCACCCGCGAGCCACTGGCCGTGTGCGACGCGAGTAGCGTTCTGGAAAGCGATTTGCAAGAAATGACACTCCGACCACCACGGGACGTCTCTGCCGCCGCCGATGACGGCGACGATCCCGCAGCAGACAACGACAATGCCGTCCAACCCGCCGGCAGACATTCGGCATACATGAACTACGGACGCAAAGTTCCAGGCCAGGCGCCGGATCAGAAATTCTGGGTCCTGAGGCCGAATGACAGACATCGATGGTAAGTTCTGTTCTGCTCCTTCCTGAGACCTGACATATCCTACCACCAGGCTAACCAAAACCCTTGGGGGCCACGAATACAGGTATTGGCCCAGCGAGATGACCCCCTCCGAAGCGCTGCTGATCAAATGCTTCGACTCGCGCACGGATGGGCGCGCCCGTCGAGCTCCCCATTCGGCCATCGTGACGCCCGGCGATCACGGTCCGCCGAGGCAGAGTATCGAGCTTCGATGCTTGGTCTTCTGGGAGCACGAAGCATTGGAGCGAGACGAGGACGAACGGGCGAGGTTGTGAGGTGCCGTGTTTCGCGTGGCGTTTGGGGGACGGTCAAAAAGCTACGCTGGGTTCGGTTCGGAAATCGGCTAATTTTGCCTTCACCGACTTTATGGCCTTGGATTGGAAAGCCGTGAAGGCTGTAGTGAGAATGCTTCGGTATCCAACTGCTGTAATAATCGGTCAGCTCGGCACTTCCATACCAAACTAGTGTCGGTGGTTGAAACGTTTTGTCTGGAATGTAAAGGCGTCCGCCGACCCATATCACGAGCTACTCGTAAAGCCAAACAACTCCTCGCTTCTAGACTGGCTCTTCGGATCCAAATACGGCGTCTCGCCAATCCCCACAGCCCGATGCCCAAACCGCTCCCCGAGGCCTTCATAATCATACGTCGCAGTATGAAAAGCACACCGATTATCCCAAATAGCTGCTTATCATTAGCATCATGGCACGATTCCTTCCGGATCGAAAAAGAGAACCGAGACTCACCAAGATCGTTCTCATTCCTCCATTTAAATCGCACACTCAGATCGTGATTGTCCAAAACGGTACGCTTGAACTTCGCCAGCAGCTCCTCGCTCTCCTCCGCGTTCAGCTCGTTGATCACTTTTGGGAACGGGCCGAGAGCGAAGAGACTCTTCCATCCGGTCACGGGATTCGTCCTCACGACGGGGTGCACGGCGGTCAGAGCCGGTCCGACATTGTTCGGGCTTCCGCGCGGCTGTTCGTAGATTTTGATATTTTCCGGGTCTGCTTTGGCGGCGTTGATGAAGCCATCGCCGGAAAATGTAGCCGTCAGGCCTTCCAAGAACTTGCGATACGCCGGGGAGAAGCGATCGTAGATCTCGTAGCCTGAAGCCCATAGCGTGTCGCCTCCGTTCTGCGGCAACTTGGTCAGACGCAGGGAGGTGTAGTCGGCGGGGTTGGGTTCGAACTGGATATCGCTGTGCCACTGGGCTGAGTCGTAGCGACGGGAATTCTTCTTCGCGGCTTCTTGGTGACGGAACATCTTCTTGCGGGCGACGGAGGAAATGTGGCTGATTTCCGCGTCGCCGACCCCGAATTCGGAGGTGTTGTTCAATACGGGGTGGATGTGGAGCGTCGAATCAGCTGGTTTGCCTGTTAGTTGGCCGAGACGGTGGACGAGCTGTTTTTGAAGATCGTCGGTGAGATTGTCTTGTTTGCGAAAGAACAGGACGCCCCGTTCAGAGACTGTGAAATGTTAAAAGACCGTTTCAGATGGGAGCCTTCAAGACCTACTCGTGATTGCCACATCTCGAAGCAACTGGTCAGCATTGGGGGCATTGATCAAGTCATCCACGATGTTGACGTTGAGGAATTCCCGTCCGATGATCGGCGTAATATCCTCATACTGGAATTGATCCAGAGCGCCCGATCGCTTTAGAGGAGCGGGATATGTCTGCGTGCCAGTATGGGCAGAACTTCCTTCTCGCACCGGCAGATCTGAGATGATACCTGGAGCCATTGCAGAGGAACGTGAATTCTGGTGCAAAAGGCGAAGAGTCCAGAGCGAGAGGTGTTCCTTATCAACAGGGCATGAGCTTCGATCTGCCCAACGTTCGCAATGCAAAGTGGGGCAGCAGGACTTGGAGTCGCAAGAGCACGCAATCGTAGAGCTGTGGTCGCTAGCATCCTGTCACCTTCACAGGCAATCAGTGTTGACAGGGCAGCTTGTCGTATCGTCTCGCTCCGGATCTCGGCACGCCTGGTGGCTTTCTGGTTCATCGCTTGCTTCGTCGGCCGACTTCAAGAGCTGCATGATATCTCAGTGCAGGCAGATCCCTCCGAAGCTTTGCCTCCAACTCGACGCTGAGGTTGGTTGGCATCTAGACGACGAGGCATCTTGCATGTAACTAAAGGTGAGATATTGATTGTAAGGAAGGAGGCAAAGGAGGTGTGAGGTGAGGTTGCTGGTTTATTTACACCAAGGGCACTGGCCAATTTGGTGCCTCAGGCACAAGGAACATCAGCGACGCTTGTAGGCAGTGCCATCGCGAAAGAGAAAAAATCCAGATACTGACAGAGTTTTGCATGAGGCCGATGCTAAGAGAATAATGTAAAGCTACGAGAAGGGTCGGTTCAGACACAGTTCCATTGTGCGTGTACACTTTCATTCATTACCTCGTTCCAATCATTGTCCTCATCAACCAGACAATTGGCCTGCTCTTGACTCATTTGACAAGTTCGCCCTCGCGCTCCAGTGGGTGGCGCCTAGAGGCATTGGCCTGGCCACCATAGTAGCCGCCGCATCCAGGGCTCTGGTACGGAGCAATGCTAGTGAACTTGGAGCGAATGTTCTCCTGGTTGCGTTCAACCGGCGCAAGAAGTCGACAGTGAACACCGAGATCGAAGCCTGACAGCCCTCGCCCAAACCTCAGTCTCACCAGGAAGCATGCAGTCTCCGTTAATGCAAGCATTTCCACCTGAAGGAACGGTGTTTTAGTAGGTAAAAGTGCGAGTTGCGTTACTTTGAAACCGCGATGTTCTAGGTAGCTCCACTAGTCACACGAGTCTGGACGAAATTGGACCTGATGCAGGTCTGGTTCGTGGGAGACGTGATGAAAGGCGTGTTGACGGAGATACTGTACCCGAGAGGCAGCAATCTCTCGCCGGCCTTGGTGCTGTTGGCTAGGGACCGGATGAGCTTGACGGCCAGTTGGCCTTGAATCGTTGCTGGGTCTGGCTGACCGGTTGGGGTAGTGCGGTCGATCCACTGTTAGGACCGGTTTTGACTGAGGAATTGGCCCTCCAAACCTATCACCTCTCACCTATGATCGAGCTCATCGGTGCAATGCCTCTTATGCCTGCCGGCAGCTCGATCTCATAGTTCGGACGTGCATCATCAGGGCAGGCACCTGGAACCCTTCGGGTTCCACGCAGGAACGGCATCTTGGGCCACTGAATCAACGTGGACCGGAGCACGTTTTTCGAGGGCCTCCAGAATATAGGTTCTGGCGTCAAGGTGGCTTGCAGCTTTGGCCGAAGGAACGCGGCCACGTCAGCGTCAGCGCCGTACAACCGCGAACTGCTACGGGCAAAGCAGCTGTTGATATAGAGGCCTCGTGACGTCGAGAGTCTGTATCATGTTCAATTGTCGGTCCTACGAGACACGTTGAATGACCCCACCTCACCCACGAGCGAAAGCCAAAACCGCCAAGAAGCACACAAGCTTTCCCCGAAGCTCTCCGCCAAGCCTAGGTTCTCCGCCAAACAACGCGGTTCGCACGACGCGCAACCGGTGACCACGTTGACCACCTCACCTCTATACCTCTATACCCGTCGCTGGAACCAGCATCGAGAGAGGAACGCCCGCCGTGGGTGATTGCAATCGCTCATGGCTTCCTCGCCCAACCCCGCTCCAGAAACATGGCGTCACAAGTCCGTGCCGCAAATGAACGAAGAGGAGCGCCTCGCCGCGCTCAAAGATTGGGCCGAAGAGAAGAAATACGTGCGGCCCGGTGAAGGCGGTACCATGACCATATATGGCGCTGGAGGCCCTTCTTTTGCTATCGCGAGTTCAGTCCCACAGCCTTCGAATCCAGATGACAAGTGGGCTGGACAGTACGATGCGCCAGTTGGACCGCCTTCGTACACGGCGGCGCCAGTCGAAGAGCCGAAGAAGAGTAGTGCGCTGAGGAAGTGGTTGGAGAAGCGGAAGGAGAAGAAGGAGATGAAGAGGAGGGAGAGTGCGCCGGCTTATACGCCGACATGAGGGATGAGTGGGATGATTCGCGACAACGACAGTATGCAGGAGCACAGGACGCTAGAGATGGACGTAATGACGTTATGAAACACAGCTTATTCGCGGAATTTTAGATGATTCTGATGCTTCTAGTCCAGATTTGATTGCGGATAGTCTCTGTCCTCACGTGCCCGTTCAACATCAGACGGTGGGCCATGCAGATTGATGGGTAGGCCCTTGACCGCTAACTTGCAGTGCGCTTTCTCAAGGAGACCATGACCGGCTTGCTAGGACGTTGCGTAGGCAACTGCTTCATATCTGCAGCCCATTTCTCCGGACTAGCGACCTCCCACCCAAGCCATCCTCGTACGCCAGCCGCGCTCACCACGCCATAAAGTCCGGAATCATCCTTTGCAAAGGATTTCAGCACCGCGATAGCAGCGCGCTGGGTAAAGTCACGGCCCAAGCAGACCTTGGTACCAGCTCCGAAAGCAATAGGAGATGGTGTTGACGAGGAGTCGTCCAGGTATCGTTCCGGCCTGAAGCGTTCTGCATCCTCCCCAAAAGTCGCAGGATCTCGATTACCACCCGCGAAGTAAGACCAGACGTCCCAACCGGAGGGTACCAGAGTATCAGGCTCTTGATCGTGCGCATTGTAAAGCGTCTGATCTCTGGTGGTCCTCCTCATGACGCCAACAATGGGCGGACTGAGACGCAGCGTTTCTCTAAGCACCGCCTGCTGCCTCGCCCCCTTCTCGGGCGTATCTACATTCATCCACTCCCAGACCGTCTCCTCGCCCTTCCGGAACAAGAAGGTATTCATCAACAAGGCAAGCATCAGACTCGCGAACCCCTTGACCGCAAGACTACTCGTCGCCATCAACAAATGATTCACAGCGACTTCATCCATCGACCCTTCCCCCAACCACCTCGGTCTCTTCCTCCTAGCTATGATCTTCTGTAACCGCTTCCGCGCATCGATCCCGATCTTTCGCGGCGAATGCCAGAATCCAGCATTGATACTCACAGGCAACAGCGAGAACTGTCCACGGAGGAGATTCTCCTGTAAGCGCACGATCTCCGCGTACTCGGGATCCTCGACATTCAGATCCAAAAACGTGCCCAGGAACAACTGCCACGACAACTCTTTGAGGGCATTATAGAGATCAAACGGCTCGTCCAGTGCGATCTGGGAGAAGAAGCGAGACGTCACCGACGTGATATGGACTTGCACAGCTTCCTGCTGCAACTTCCGGGCGTGTTCATCCCAGCTGGACCTCATCTCGGCGTGTAGACAACCCTCAGCCAACAGGAGATTCGGCCGAGGGAAGAATTGCTCCATGAGTTGCCTGTAAGGCGCCTGGGCCACATAGGCAGCGGGCCCATCCTTCCCGTCCTCCTGTGATTCCAAAATTTGAAAAATCTGCTTGTACGCCGAAACTATCACGACATTGCGATTGAGAATCTGCGCGCGGATCGGCCGTCTCCTCCTGGCTGCTTGGTGAGGGTGTTCCTGTGAATATCGCCGAGCATAGTTGGTGAGGAATGCTTCCGGACTCGCGTGGAAAGCAAAATTATCCGTGATGCTTGAGAGAGTGCCTGCGTTGCCTGGTGGTAGGATAGGAGGGGGTTTGTTGGCCATGATTTGGTGTTGGTGTTTTTCTTCACGCCGTCCTGCTTGATGGTATCGAGATCTTTCTCGCCCGCTAATTCGTGCGTTCTGCAAGCGTTTTGAGCTTTTGCTGGACTACAGGCGATAGCACCATGAGGTCTATTGATTATCCATCGCGTGTCCACGTTTGGGCAATTGAAAGTTGCTCGGTGACCATGATGACGTCAAAGCACATGGCTACTTTAAAGTACGTGTGTGAGAGCTTTGACTAACAAAGAAGGTTCATGGCCGGGCTATCTATATGAGGTTTTGAGGTGTTTTTATGTCCCCTCTACTTGGCTGCTAAGACTAGAGTTTTTCACACTTAGGTATAATACTACTTTAGTAAGTATAGTATAATTCCTTAGTATATAGGCTAAGGATCTTATATCCTCCCCTACTTAGACTTTAGTACCTACTAAAGCCTTAGTAGAGCCTCAATTGTCTGTAGATTCGTAGCCTCCCTCTATATGCTAGTATATAGTTGTCCTTATAAGCCTTAGCCTTATAAAAAGGTTATAAGTATTACGTACCGGACGGTAAGGCAATATAGTCTATATATATCTCTTAATTAAGGGGATGTCTATCTAGCTTCTATAGAGATATAGCTGCCGGCCGGTAGGCTAGCAGCTTCCGTTAGCCTTTAGTAGTAGGCTAGCGGCTTCCCCGTAACAACCTCCCCCCTAAACGAAAATAACCGTAGCCTCGCGGTCTTGTCTAATACTGTCGATTTTATACCGGTTCATACAGCTAGCTAGCTAATAATAAGGAGCGGAGTGTAAGGTAGGGTCGTTAGCGCACGCCGCGTACGCTACGACGCTTTAGCGTAGGGGTAACTAGTAGTAAGGAGCTACGCGGGCGCTTCTTCCGGAGCGAGGGGCTATCTAACTTCTCGGGCTGTATAGCCTTCGAACTTAAAGTTAGCTACGCGACGGCCTTCTTCTTTAGTAGTAGTATAGAGTCTCTAGGGACGGTAAAGCCCGTTATTATACTACGGACGTATTAGGCTATGTTGTCGAAGGCGCCGCTAGCGAAGCGGTTAAGGTCGGAGTTACGGACTTAGGCGTTAGGCTGCTCCACCTACGGGAAGGTAAGTAGTAATATAGTATATAGTCTACGGAGGCGTCCTATCTCCCCTTCTATAATCTCTACCGAACCGGCGCCGGCTCTAGCGAGGGTAGCTAACGGCGTAAGCGTAGGTACTATAAGCGTATCGAACTTAAGGGATTAGTTACGGGCTACCTATAGGATAGCGCGAACTAAGTCTCGGTAAAGCGTCTAGGTAGCCGCCGTAGCTACTACCGTATCGGCCGCCTAGCCTCGTAAGATATCGGCCGTACGTAAGGATATAACTACTAAACGGAGTTAGGCTACGTACGCCTCTTGTACTATATTCGTAAGACCCTATAGGGCGGTATCGGCGAGTAGGGTGTCGGCGGCTCCGTGCTCCTACGCGTTAGATTTAGGCTAAGCCTCGACATCGTCGCTTGTTCGGGTAGCTAGCCTATTGAATCTATCTAACGGGTCTTTAGAGTCGGAGGACTACTCTATAGTAGTAGCCTACTACTTCTTAGTAGTACTCTTTACTAGAATCGAGTCTAGTACGTTATCCTCCTTATCGGAGCTAGTAGGGTAAGTCTAGTCGCTAGTAGGGCGGTAGAAGCCGACAATAGGGTCGCCCCCGTTTCCGTCGAGGTCGTATTCTAGTGCCTCGTCGGCACCTCCCCCTCCGGGTATTATGTCGTTACCGTACTAGTAAGGCTCCCTGTCGTAACGGATTGAGTCTTAGGCCGCCTCGACAGCCGCGCGGACCTTACTATCTACTAGGTTCTCGGTTATTAAGATGTATTCGACGAACTCTAGCGTAATTCGTAAGACGTCGACTAATACTAGGTAGGTAATGTAGGTGAAATCCACCTCGTAGTCCTTATAGGTACGTAGGGCGCTAGCGCCGCGGGCCTACCTATACGTAGTCGCCTTAGGGTACTACTACGGCATGTACTCCGTTCCCCGCGGCTCCGCCTAGAGGTCCGGATCGGTATAGAGGTACTTACGGGCAAAGTCTTCGCTATAGAGAAGGACGACACTACGGACGGTAGTATAGCGCGGCTTGTTGTTCTCTAACGCGCTAGGTATTACGTATAGTAGGCCTATTAGCCGACGGTTCGTATACGGGTAGCTCTCCTTATTAAACGTACTACTTATATAGGTTGTAAGGAAGGTCTTCTAGATAGCGCCGTTAGCCCTTAGCTAAAGGAGTGCGCCGACAGTATAGTTAGAGTATTAGCAATTAGGTGCCGGTATGTTACTAGGACGGATACGGGCTATAATAACGTCGAAGTACGGCTAACCTACGGAGGCGTTAAGGTCGGCCTTCTAGCCTTTAGGAATAAGTATCGGCTTACTACCCTACGCGTACTTAGCTAGGTCCTATTATATAAAGAAAGGCTACTACCTACCGTTTACTATTCGGGTTAGCGGCATAGCTTAGCCGGGCTTTCTATCTTTCTCCTCCGCTAGCGGCGTCGCGGCCGGCTACTTCTCCTTCTTCTTACTAGGCTTCGCTATTATTACGGCGAATTCGGAGGGCTCGGGCGCTATCTACCTATCGAGGCACTCTAGGATAAAGGCGACGACACCTTCGTGAAACAACAGGTAGCGGACTGTTAAGCCTAATACGCGTAACAGCTACTACTCGTTAGCCGTTCGGTACTAGCGGCCCGGGGCGACGCCGTAGAGCTCGTCGAGGTTAAACGCGTATACTACGTCGAAGTCGGTTCTCTTCTAGCGGGTAGAGAAACGTAGGGTCTCGACGGGGAGGGCTACGCCTTTAGAGTCTAACGCTACTAATTCGTACTACTACATAGCGTCGGCCGGCGGAATGTTACTCGCTTCGTAGTATAGGACGTTAGGAGGCCCTCGGAAGATAGAAAATTCCTCTACTAGGCCGTCGTTAGGCACGCGTAAAGAGTAGTTAGGTGTCGTAATATAGATCGTAAGCTCCCGCGGGATTCCTTCGACGTCGTTAGTACGTAGCGTCTAATAGTAAGGGAACGTCGTTAGGACGTAACGTAGGTAGGTCTCTAAGATCGGGTCGGCGGTAAACTCCTCGAAGAAGACTATTAACTTGCGCCCTTACGTAACGACAGCTTAAGCGCGCTTAAATTCGTTAGACGTAGGTTACTCGGGCTAGTCGAGGAGTCGCTATACTCGTTTACGGATCTCTATACGTTCGAGCAACTAGCGCGCGTAGGCGTCCTTAGGTTCTTCGTTTCGCTACACCTAGCTACGTACGCGTAGGTCGTAGATTAACTCCTAGCCGCTAAGGCGCCGGGGAGTAGTCTACTATAGGAGTACGTTTTTAGATCGTAGGAGTAGGGACTTAGGGTCCTCTTCCGGCTCGGAGGGTAAGGGCGCCTTAGTAGGCCGCGGTTAGAAGGAGTAAGGAGAGTTAATAGGCGTAAAGGTAACCGTACTACGGTTATTATAAATCTTCGAGGTAGCGGCGGAGAGTGTGTCCTAGTAGCGTAAAGAATTTTCTTTATTATACGCCTTATTATTTACTACTCTAGTATCCGTACGTACTTTACCTTACGGTTACTAGGCTAACGCGCTATAGTCTAGATAGCGTCCGCGCTACTCTCCTTCGATAACCGGCTATAGCCTAGGGCTTATTAATAAGCTAAAAGGCTAGGCGTCTAACTAATTCGCGACTAGGGTACGCGTCTTAACGAGGCGGTAAAGTACCCGGTACAGCTACCGGCCGGACTACGTCTCTACGCTAGAGAACAAGGTAGCGGCGAGCTCCTCCGTCTCGCTAATGTCGGCGCCGGTAAGTAGATCTACGACGCCGGCGAAGGTCTCCTCGCTAAAGACGTAGTAGGCGTTAGTAGCGGCGATTTGTACTAGTACGTAGCGGGCTACCTACGGTTTACCGGAGGTTACGACGTCGTTAATATCGGGTAGGATAATGTTACGCTCTACGTATCCGCGGCGCTAAGCGGTACTAAAATGTAGTAGTATAAGCCGCTTAGAGCCGCTCTACTCGCTAACGACCCGCTAGGCGAAATCTATACTAGCGGCGATACAGTCGTAAGGGTAGATGTCGTAGCTTACAAGGCGGTAATACTACTAGGTCGATGTGTCGGCGACCGCCGAAGTAGTACCGAAAATATTCGCGGAAAAATATAAGGCCGGGCTAGTAAAAGGGGTTACGACTCGTAAAGAGTCGCGCCGCCCTAGTCTAAAAAATTGCGCTAGCGGGCCGCTCGCCGTAAGGTACGTCGAGACGCCTTGTCCAAATCGGCGCCCTGTTTATAGTCGTCTAATATGTCGTCGCGGTGCCTCGGTAAGGCCTCCTTTAATGCCTTCCTCCTACCTTTCCTCTCTCTACTACCCGCCTACGCCTCCTCGTCCGCTAGGTGCGCCTTATTATAGGCCTCTATCAATTCCTTCGCCTCCGCTAAGTCCTCCTTATTATACTAAACATTATAGCCTATACTATACCCTACCTACTTTACTAAATACTAGACGACGGCCTGTCCGCGGCGCGTTCGGGTACGGCGCTCTAGTAGGCGTTCGATCTCGTAAGAGGGTACATTAGCCGGGTCGTTAGTCGCCGCCGTAACCACCGGGCTAGGCTCGTAGTAGACGGTACGGTCGAATAGGTCCGGCTCCTACGGGGGCTTCTCGAGCTAAGTAATAGAAAAGACAGGGTAGAGCCCGGACATCGCGGGCGGCAGCTCGAGTTCGAAAGCTAATAGTCCGATACGGCGAAGTACGCGAAAGGGTCCCTCGAAGCGCGGCGCTATCTTGCCTCCTTTGCCTTAGAGCTTATATCCGTGTCCGAGTCGTAGTAAGGCCTTGTCGCCTAGCTTTAGTATTAGCGGCTTATGTTTAGTATTATACCTAGCTTTTATCTTCGCGTTAGTAAAGGCTACCGCGTCCTCTACTTCCTTCTAGATAATCGCTCTGTCCCTAGCTAGGGAGTC